TATATATATATATATATACTCGTTCGTTATCCGATGACTTATAAGAAACAATACACACTGAACTACCTACATGGCAGTCCAATTTGCGTCAGTGAATTTACTAATCACCAACATTTTGTCTATGTGTGTGTGTGTGTACATCTTTAGGCCACCCTGGAGGACCAGATCGTGCAGACTAACCCTGTACTGGAGTCCTTCGGTAACGCCAAGACTGTCAGGAACAACAACTCCTCCCGTTTTGTAAGACACTTTTATCTACCTTTTAACTAACAATTTAGATTCCATTTGATTAAGGGGCCATTTTTAAAATTTCAACTTAATTTGTTTTGTGTTAAACACGGACGTCTTTGCTGAAACTTCCAGGGCAAGTTTATCCGTGTCCAATTCAACCGGAAGGGAATCTTGGCCGGTGGTGACATCGAGACTTGTAAGTAAAACACTTTCTTGGAGAAAAATGAAATATTTTAGTTGCTGTAATGTTTTTGGAATAATAGTATAAGGAATATTTCTTATCGTAATATTATTTCTCAATATCATCTTGTTGTAGATGCATACTGTTCTGTGTTTTGAACCGGAGTCAAATAGCATGTTACGCTCACCAACGTTACGTTTCGATGCGTTCTTCCAGATCTTCTCGAGAAGTCTCGCGTGATCTCGCAGCTGCCGGGAATGGAGCGAGGTTATCACATCTTCTTCCAGCTGATGTCCAACGGCATCCCGGGTACAGTCGGTACGTGGAGATCACTTCATTTCCGAGAACACTGCAAGTGCAAACAAGAAATATGAGATTTCAAACCTAACTCAAAGTAGTAGATCTTTTCTCAACTTACTGTCACAACCACGGGTCTAAAACAGAAACCTATTAACTTGTTGTGACAAGCCCCAAGTGAGTACCCGCAGTGACTTGCAGTAACTTTGTGTGTAGAACTTCTGGTCAATCTACGACTGCTGCTCCGCACTGATCCTGCCTACTACAAGTTCGTGCAGGAGGGAGGAATTACTAGTATTTTTTGCCTTACACTTAATTCTGTTTTATAACTAGAGAAGTAACACTTGCAAAGCAAATGCATAATGTTTACCTTCGGACATGCTCTGTTAATTCTTACATTCACATACATGTATTACTAGTATATGGTGACAGGAGCAGAGCACGCAATGAAATTGCAACATTATGTAACCCAACACCTGTCACCATGGTGACAGACGTCAACAAATCATGTCATTGGTCAGGTCATAGGTCACTGGAGAAGAAGAAGAGGAAGAAACGGAGCAATAACAATGTTTTCCTTCGGTAAACATAATAAAATGTAAATCTTTTCTGCTGTAGACCGACTGCTGCTCCGCACCGACCCTGCCCACTACAAGTTTGTACAGGAGGGCGTGTACGAGGTAGCCAACCTGGATGACGGGGAGGAGTTTCGCGCCACGGACGAGGCCTTCGACATCCTGAACTTTGCCGCGGCCGACAAGGAAGACATCTACAAACTGTGCGCCGCCATCTTGTGGTTCGGTAACACCAAGTTCGCGCAGAGGGGCGAGCAGGGAGAGGTGGAAGGGTTCGAAGGTATCAAAGTGTGATTTTTTGTATCTTTTTGACGACTTTTAACACTGTTTAAAAAAAGTTCTCTCACCTAGAGCTTTCGACCAGTCACTCTGGTCTTCCTCAGTAGACTGACCCACTGAACAAAACTGGTGAATTTAGGCTGCAATGTTTAAAACATTCGAGTGTAAACGGGAAGGTCGGTTCCCGGTGTTTGGGAGTGTTGGGGCGGGGGTGTTGTAAAATTTAACTCAAAGTCGATTCGATTCATATATAAAGGTAGGCGTGGTCTAAATCTGGTTAGACTGCTCCTGAACTTCAGCCAACCTTGGTTGGTCGGTGGTCGAGGGAAAGTTCTGAGTGTGCGACAGGGGCTTAATGTCTTCACTTGTGTACTTACCGCGATTCTCGTCTGTCCACAGAGATGGACAAGACCAGCCGCCTGATCGGGGTTGATCGTGAGGAGTTCGTGAACGCGATCTGCAAGCCTCGCGTGAAGGTCGGCTCTGAGTTCGTCACCAAGGGCCAGACGGCCGAGCAGTGTTCCAACTCTGTCGGCGCGCTGTCCAAGTCCATCTACGACAGGGTCTTCAAGTACGTTGTGCGCTCTTCCCCAAGTCTTTACTCTTACGCAACTCATAGGAAATACATTAGTCTTCTAGATAAGGGCCCTGTCACATACATTGTTGTCATAAGGTTGTTGTGCGATCGCAAACTGAGGACATTTGGGGATAGCCAAATGCATGTGTCCTGCAAAATTCAGCTTTCTTGTTACGGAAAAGTCTACCTTAGATCCTTTCCTGTTGAAGAATACAGGGCAGCAAAATGGGTCAACGACCTATGACGAATGTGACGGTACCGTAATCTCCAAGCAGATCTTTCGTTGGCCAGGCAGTATACATTGACCAGAGAGTGCGACTGAGGAATGATGCATTACGTATGTCAACCTGGTTGAGACAGAGTCTACTTTATATTTTTGATGAGATTTATCTTAGTGTTGTAGTCACCAGTTGACCGTGCTGATACATACACATAGGTTCATCGTGGCCAAGTGTAACGAGACACTGGAGACTGAGATGGAGAGGGCCTTCTTCGTCGGTGTGCTGGATATCGCCGGCTTCGAGATCTTCGAGGTAATGTTTCAAGTGTGAAAAACGCGAAGTCCTTACTATATGTAGAGGTGACGCCACATGGGCTTGTACTGTTCATGACAGTACATACGTACACTGCTCTGATGCTACTATGGCAACAGAACGAAAATCTTGGACATATGACTTTTGGTGAGCTGTTCTGTAGTTGCCTGGTGAGAATGACAGTGCTACTGCCGCACAAAAGTGTTCAACGCTGCCCTCATGGTCGTTGTTGTTAGTTCTGCAGTGTGTAAAAAGGTGAAGAAATGGGGAGGGACATGCAATGGTAAAACTCATTTAGAAGTCTTATGAACTACCCGTTCCCTTTGCCTGTGTCTGCAGCTGAACAGTTTCGAGCAGCTGTGCATCAACTACACCAACGAGAAGCTGCAGCAGTTCTTCAACCACCACATGTTCGTGAACGAGCAGGAGGAGTACAAGCAGGAGGCGATCGAGTGGGAGTTCGTCGACTTCGGCATGGACTTGCAGGCTTGCCTGGATCTCATTGAGAAGGTGTGTACAGTGAAGTCTGACACAGTAAAGACAGCTCACCTCAAATTGTTGGTTTCTCTTCCGTCGACCTTCTTCAGGAGTGATGATCCAATTACTCTGAGCACGTGACATGAGTAAGGAATCGTAAATACCTGGTAAGCGATATCGGCCCCCGTCTCGGTTGTGTGTCGTCTGGTGGGTTTCTAATGAGGTGAGCTATCTTCAAGATCACAATCGTAATCCCGTACTACATATTCGTTTGTAACTAAAGCAATAAAGTAATAAAATGAATAAAGAGACTCTTTTTACACAATCAACAGGTTTATTCTTGAGCCGATGTTCCTCAGGGCAAATTTGACTGGCTCACTCTGTACAGATTTGCCCTGAGGAAGGTGACAGTCCAACCAACCTGATAAAACTATTCACAAAGCTATAAACTGCATGTATTTTCCTTAGCCTCTCGGCATCCTGTCGTTGTTGGAAGAAGAGTGCATCGTAGCTCTTGAGCATCGTACCTCTTGAACCAGTCAGGGCAAATCTGACTGGTTCACATTGGTCAGGCTTATCAACCTGATGAAACCATTCACAAACTTATAAACTATTTTCCGTATCCTCTCGGCATCCTGTAGATGTTGGAAGAAGAGTGCATCGTACCTCTCCAGCCGATGTTTCTGAGGGCAAATCTGGCTGGTTCACATTGCACTGATTTGCCCTGAGGAAGGTGACGTATGAAACTATTCCCAAACTTATAAATATTATGTATTTTCCGCAGCCTCTGGGCATCCTGTCGATGTTGGAAGAAGAGTGCATCGTACCGAAGGCCACAGACCAGACGTACCTGGACAAGCTTCAGGGCCAGCATCTCGGGAAGAACCCCAAATTCGGCAAGCCCAAGCCCGGCAAGAAGAAGTACGAGGCTCACTTCCAGCTGGGCCACTACGCCGGGCCGGTGGGATACAACGTCGGCCACTGGCTGGAGAAGAACAAGGACCCTGTGAACGAGACTGCTGTGAAGGTGTTCAAGGGCGCTGGGTGCGATCTGCTGAAGCGGGTTTGGGCTGACTACATCACCGCCGAGGAGCAGGCAGGTCGGTGGAATAAAATAGTTTAGTGTTTTGATAATGGTTTTATTCGACAACTCCAACAATACAGAGTCACATGGCTCGCTTATAAGGATCCTGAATTGGTCTGTAGTATTAGCAATAGTAATAAGCCATTTAAACTCGAAAGCTGTCGTTTACGGTAACTGTTTGATAACTGGCTTAAATCGCGATACAGATTCATTAAAACTTCATTATGTACTCTTCACTGTCAACGAAAATTTAATCCTGTCCAAAATTATACGAAAGTACATTGTGTATATTGTAGAAGGTCGGCTGTTTTTTGTTTACCACAATGACCGCAGGAAGGTCAATCAAAATTGGTCCAATATTTTCCAGTCCAATATGAAGTTAACTCGGATGTTGATATTTTTGTTTGTTCTAAAACAGGACAGAAAGGAGGAAAGAAGAAGAAGGGAGGGTCTTTCATGACCGTCTCCGCCGTGCACAGGGTACGAGCTTTTCTTCTTTGCCTTCTCGACCCGGAACCCATGGGTCCTGGGTTCGATTCCACGTACATGCTCCGACGTTGTGCCCTTAGGGAAGGCACTTTACACAACTCCCCCCCCCCCAACATGCCAGTTATTATCGATTTCTCGGCAGATAGGCATTATCGGAAAAAGAAGAAGAATGAAGTAGTAGTAGTAGTAGTAGTAGTAGTAGTAGTAGTAGTAGAAGTAGTAGTAGTAGTAGAAGTAGTAGTAGAGATTGGTTTTTTGGGTCTTAACACAAGACATATACATGCCTCCTGGCAGCCGTGGAAGGCTGAATTGTGAGGCTATATATTTACAGAAGTGTCAGAACGAAAGATCACGTCTTGCTCTATCCCAACATACAGGAGCAACTGAACCACCTGATGCACACGCTGCATCAGACCTACCCGCACTTCGTGCGTTGCCTCATCCCCAACGAGCTGAAGACGGGCGGCATCATCGACGGACCACTGGTCTACAACCAGCTGACGTGTAACGGTGTGCTGGAGGGCATCCGTATCTGCCAGAAGGGATTCCCGAACAGGCAGATCTTCTCCGACTTCATTGAGAGGTAGAAGAAACAAACAAGTTACAAATAACCTCTAGACTCATCTCCAACCTTGCACGACGTTTCGAAATGTACGAAAACACAGTCTGGTTGAAACATACGATATCTTGAATTGAAGTGGTTGCCGCATAAACTACACATGTTCAACCTGACCAGAAAGATTGGGCATGGGGTCTGATTTGCCTATTACCTACTGCAACGTTTTTGAGGGCAGGGGAAACATATAGATATAGGGAGTATTGGGGAAAAATTCAGTCGAGCAAATAACTTCAAAATCTACCGCTTTTCGAGCAACGTGTTCTATGTTGGTGGGAAACGACTTCTATTATGTTTTATTTTGATAGATAAACAAATAAACAAATTCACCCCACCTTCCCAACAGGTACCGTATCCTGGCGGCTTCTGTGTTCGCTGAGGGGACCTTCATGGAGGGTAAGGAGGCTTCGCGTCTGCTGCTGGAGGCGACCGGGCTGCCCAAGAACCGCTACGCCATCGGGCTCACCAAGGTCTTCTTTAAGGTAACCTCACAGGACCTGTTGGTATCTTGTTCGAGCACTGGATTTGAGTCTATATCGTCTGTTGTTCGTTTACTGTACGTTGTCTCCGTCTGTCTACCTGTAGTGTAGCTTCGTTGTTTCTTCATTCATCGTTGTGTGTCTGTGTGTCTCTGTGTGTGTCTGTGTGTGTGTGTGTGTCTGTGTGTGTGTGTGTGTGTGTGTCTGTGTGTCTGTGTGTGTCTGTGTCTCTGTGTGTGTGTGCTGAGTGGATTTGTTTGTGTGTGTGTGTGTGTGTGTCCCTCTGTGTGTAAGAGTGTGTCTCTGTATGTATGCGTGTCTTTGTGTTAACGTTTGTATGTGTGACTCTCTCTCTCTCTCTTTGTATGCGTAGATCATTAAAGCAACAACCTACTGTAATACAAGCTGTTGTAAGTTGTCCTTACTGTTCTCCCCAGGCCGGAACCCTCGGAATGCTGGAGGAGATGCGAGAAGAGAAGATCAACGCCGTGCTGGTCGCCATCCAGTCCCGGTACCGCGCCCGCTTCCAGAGGGTCATGTTCGAGAAGCTGTATAACGGCAGGTTAGACTTGTTCATATCTCGTTTATAGGTAAAACTTAAATTTGTTCCAACACACAAAAAATGTTGTCATCTATGTTTAAGAGCTTGATACGGCATGCAAATCATGGTGTCTGCCATACTCTTATATTTAACGAAACATTTAGTAACATCTAGCTAAATAACATCTGAATTTGGAAACCAATCTTGACTAGACTTAGGTCTTCCTGTGCCTACAGGGACATTGGGCAGCAAGTTTCCATCTTGCTCTAGTGGAAACTTCTTTCTTAGCTATAGCCTATTTAGAGGTTATGTTGGCTCCTTCCAGTTCAATCTTGAACTGAATTGAATTAATATCTTATGAACACGATTGAACTGTAATCGCCAACACAAGAAATTGGACTCACACAAATTTTATGATATGATACAATGTATTGATATCTATCTATCTTTTTTCCATCCCGGCGCCCAGAATGTCGGTGGACACGATCCAGCGGAACATCCGGATGTACTTTAACCTGCGGAACGACGGCTGGTACAAGATGTACGGCTGGATGCAACCGCAGCTCACAGGAGCCAAGGCGGAGGAGCTGCTTAAGGACAAGGAGGTCGAAGTGGAGGTACGACCCTTGAACTTTCATTCTTGAACTTTCACCCTTGAACCTTCTTCCTTGAACCCTCACCATTGAACCTTCATCCTTGAATCTTCACGCTTGACCGAACTTCGAAGTACGTCCAGATCAGAGACTGGGACGAAAACCATCATCCCATGTTAAGCATACCCTACCAAATGTATATTTCCCATGTCCTACTTACCTACCTAGCCCCATGTCCACGTACTGGCAATCGGCTTTCGGGCACGAACTTGTAAATACATTTTCATTATCTATCGTCATTGGGTGATAATTTCATGTTTCTCTTGGCATTCTGTTGGGGCCTGTATGCAAACAGCGGCAACGTTTCCTCTATCGTTTTTGCCTTCCCTTTGCTGTTTTGCAGATAGTTGTTGAACGCGATCTTTTCCCTAGGTAAATGTTGACCATGGTGTCTTAATTGATAACAGCCTATGGCTTCGGCTATGGCTGAGCATATACGAGAATGTCTCTTCCCAGTATTATATCATTAGATAATGTTTTGTCGTTCCATCATAGAAACGAAGTTTTTCTTTTCCCCCTCAGACCCTGAAGAAGGCGCTCGGTGATAAGCAGAAGAGACGGCAGGCGCTTCAGGCAAAGATCAACGACCTGCTCGCTGAGAAGGAGGACATCGTGAGCCTGTTGAGCTCGGTAAATAATTACAATATACGGCAACAGTTTCTTTCCTGGGACTGAAAAATTACGTAACACCCTCCCAAACACATGCTTTCCTTCCTAATACAATTATTTATCAAGCTTTCAAAGTAAACATTCACCAACATCTTTTGGCATAGACCGTCTGTCGTGTTTTCTAGCTCAATGCCTACAAGTGGACATTTGGCTTTTCATTGCGCAACACAGTTAGAACATCTGAACCTACTACCTACGTACCTTAACACCCTCTTTGTTGGGCATGGTGAGTACCGAACCCAGGACCTATTGGTTCCATGTCCAACGCTCTAACCGTTGCGCCACCGACGTCACTCATCGACAAATATGTCTTTATTTCCAAACCTGCAGGAAGGCAGCGTGGTGCGAGAGGCTGCAGAAGAGCGCGTCCGCACCTTGAGTAAGGAGTTTGAGGAGCTGGACGTGCAGTATAAGGAGATGGAGGAGCATTGGACGGACCTGAGCGACACCAACAGGGACCTGGAGATAGGGAGGGACAGGGCGCTCAAGAGCCGAGACGAGCTCAAGGTAAGACAACATTGAAGTAGTTTGTTGGCTTTGGTATTTAGAAAGGCCAACCATAAAAACATTGAAATTGTATACAACTGGGTAAATTACGAAGATCCTTTCCTGAGCGCTCAAGAGCAGAGACGAACTCAAGGTAAAACAACATTGAAGTAGTTTGAAGTCACACTGAGGTCGTTTTTTTTTGGTCTTCAACTTCAAAAGAAGATGGTGAACTAGAAAAACAAATGGTCTGGTGGGATAGTTCTGCCTTCTTACACAGTCTCGGATAATTAAAATGACAGAATCTTTACTTGAGAATGTCCTAGAACTTATGCACCAGAGATACGTGTATCTCTTTTCTACTAGTAGCTAGCCATTTTGCGTCAAGGTTGACCATAAGGTGCTCAGCTTTGTGGCAAGCAGAATAGAAAAAAAAAACATAAATTTTTCACCCAAAATGTCCCGTTTTTGTACCGCCTGCCGGGAAGGGAGGTTCGATTATATTTGGCTAGTGGTTGGGTAGTGTTTGGAAGTAGTTCGAGGCTTGGTTGGCTTTGGAATTTTACGTTTTTTTAACGTTTTTGTCCACTCCCAGTCGGCTGTTGAAGAGATGGAGGCGCGGCTTTCCGAGCACGAGAACGCGAAGCAGGGCGAGGACTCTGTTCTCCGGGAGAAGGAAGAACAGGTGGCGCAGAACGCCGCGAAGATCGAGCATCTCAGCAACGAGAAGGCGCGCCTGGAGGACCTCAACGCCGTAAGTACCTTCAACTAATCTTCATTGTGTGGGGTCGTGAGGCGTAGCGGCAGAGTACTGAACCAAGAGGTCCCGGGTTCGAGTCCTGACATGCTACCGATCTTGTGCCCCTGGGAAGGGCACTTTAGGGACTTTCCTCACTTGACTTATGCAGGTGGAAATGAGTATTGGTCTGTCCTCTGTGTTTGTGGCGGCATAAAATAAGTTTATATAAATTGAGTGTGCCGTCGCCATGTCTAGTCATGAAATGTTGAAATGTTAAAAAAATCTTCAAGAAGATGTTGGGATCCTTTTTTTCAGTCTTGTGACGATAAAGGATGGGGTACACCTTGTCAATAGTTGCTTCTGCCAAAGTGTCCTGAAATCCTACGAAACATAGTATGCCTGATGTGATCTCGTCTCTGCATGAATGTGGAAAATTATTACGACCGGTTCACGATACATTGCCAATTGCCAATTGTCGTTACGTGCTGGATATAACTTTAGAGGGAGAAAAAGGAGAAGCAAAAGGAGAAACATATCGAAAATGTATATGTAGATTTTCCTTAAGTAAAGCTTATAACTTCACCCTGCAGCAAACTCTGGAGGACCTGGCAGCGGAGGAGGAAAAGGCCTCGCAGCTTTCCAAGGTGAAGATTCGCCTGGAACAAACCATGGACGACGTAAGTATTCTAATCTGGGTCTATAGTCTACTATCATTTTCTTTTTACCAGAACAATCTAGATAAATGAAAATATTAGTCGCCATATTAGCAATGAAACTTGATTACTCACAGTGTACAATCTGTTCTATCATGAAAGTTCATGTTGGTAGCTACATATCTAAAGGTAAAAATTTCGTTCCAGCACAAAAGGGCTTTCGACCAGTCATTCTGGTCTTCCTCAGTAGACTGACCGAGTGAGGCTTGTCACATGACTTATCTGAAGTGTGACGTCAACACTGGGTCTACTGAGGAAGGACAACGTTCTAGTTGAGAGCAATTCCTTTTCTGTTGGAACAAAGGTTTTAAACATACAACCTGTTGTATCCGTGCAGTTGGAGGACAACCTTGGTCACGAGCGGCGAATCGTGACGGAGGTGGAGCGGGTGAAGTCCCGCCTGGAGAGGGACCTGAAGACGGTGCAGGACAAGATCGCCGAGACAGAGGCACTCCGGGAGCAACTCACAGACACACTCAAGCAGTAAGTTAAAGTTAAAGTTAAAGTTAAAGTTAAAGTTAAAGTTAAAGTTAAAGTTAAAGTTAAAGTTAAAGTTGGAGAGGGACCTGAAGACGGGGCAGGACAAGATCGCCGAGACAGAGGCACTCAGGGAGCAGCTCACAGACACACTCAAGCAGTAAGCAGAGAAACATTCGCTCAAGTTTTAAACATTGCATGAAAGTCACACACAGCTGAACACATGGTTAGGAGTAGATCAGGAACAAAGTTGGTTGCTGGTGTTTTGCTGCGCCAGCCGAATGTTTCAAATTGTTCAAAACATCCGGGTGTGGACGCGAGGTTCGGCCATGGTTGGCTGGTGTTCGGAAGTACGTCCAGGCTCGATTGGCAGCAAGGTTTGACTCAAATTTAATACAAATTCGACTCGATTCGTATTGAAAGGTAGGCGTGGCCTACATCTGGTCAGACTGCTCCGAACGTCAGACAACCTTGGTCGACTGGTATTCGGGGGAAGGTTCTGAATGTATGACAGGGACTTACTTAACGTAACGTAACGCAACGTCACGTAACTTGTTTTTTCTTTGTTCCTCAGAAAAGAGCAGGAAGCTCTCACCGCCACGACAGGTGTGGAGGACGAGGTCGGAGTCGCGTCTTCTCTGCAGAAGAAGATCCGGGAATTCACGGTGTGTGACGTCATAGCCGCCATATTGGACGGTTACACGTGAATGCGCTAGACCTGTAAATCTGTATTTATTTGATAAGGGCGTCTCTATAAGACTTTATTTTATGAATAACGTCAAATGTTCCGTGCAGATCCCAAGTTTGCGTCACAGTTATGCTGTTTATGTTGTGTATCATATATTTTTATCAAGACGACACATTGGTAAGAAGATAGCTATTGGGAGCATAAAAAGTTAATTTCTATGCCTATCTATTCTTTAGAGGCTCGCAGAAGATATGGAGGACGACATTGACGTGGAGAGGTCAGCTCGTGTCAAGGTAAAGATCGTCGTAAACGTGTACGGGAAAGATATAAAGACGACATATCTTTCCACATTTAATAAATACAAATGGGTAGTTCTACGTAAAGTGGGCTGTAGTTCAGTTCTGTGAATCCTTTTTTTATTGAAACATACAGTGACAAGACGACACACCAAAGTTACACTTTTTCAATGTCGCCACCAGACAATACGTAATACAAGCAAGCAAAGCACGAGTTTTCATATAGAAGTTGAATACAATAATTAATCAATGAATACATGAAACAAATATATAAATAGTGACAGGATTGATCAAGATATTACAAAAAACGATTTGATTCTTACAAAAATGTCTGTGAATCTTTGTATCGCTGTTGTGAGTACAGCATTGTTGATAACGTCAAAAGATGCCAACTGTTTCTCAATGTGTTAAATGTTGTGAAATTGCGCCACACAGGCGGAGCGGGCGCGCACGGAACTGCAGCGTCAGTTGGAGGACATGACGGAGAAGCTGGACGAGTCGTCCGGTCTGTCGAACGCCCAGATCGAGAAGAACAAGCGGCGAGAACAGGAACTCGCACGGGTACGTGTTACACAACTATTTTAAAAGTTATATCAATTTCCCAACTACTTTTCTCTCTCGCTCAAATCAATCTACAAGGCACGCTTTGGAACTCGCACGGGTACATCTGACACTACTATTTTAAAAGTTGTACCAATTTCCCAACTACTGAATTGTGTCCACTCGCTCAAAACAATCTACAAGACACGCCTTTTGAACTCAAATGTACTACATAGAATAGAAGACACCCTACCTTTGGCATGAGAAGGAGTTATAATAAGCTCCTTTCACACTTTTATACCCCCCCTCACACACACACACACATCCGACAAACCAATGACAATGTCAGTGATAGCTTGAGAGCAAGTTTAAACAGTTTTGGCCCTCGCCTGTTAGAGACGGTACATCTTAGTAGCAGTTTGAAAGTTTGAGGAAGAATTAGGGTTTAGAGTTCGGAAACTTTGCATAGTAGTCACTGCTATGCTGCATTTCTTTTCTCATGTTCGACGTGATCAAGGTTTTTGAGAAAAGTTGAAAAAGGTTTGAAAAAGGTCTCAAAAGCAGAGCTGTGTTCTTATGTCCCCAGGTACGCCGAGACCTGGAGGACACCTTGGCAGCCCAGGAGGCGGAGGCTTCCGGCCTGCGGAAAAAGCACGCGGACCTGCTGGCCGAGATGACCGAGACTCTGGACCATCTCGCCAAGGTGGGTACCCTCAGAACAATTAAAACAGTGAAACAGTACAGAACGTAGTCACAGAACGTTGAGATTTGTACATACCCGACTGGTCTGTAAATACGTTTAATGTGTTTTAAGTATGTACTTTTCAAGTGTACTTTTTAATCTCTTATGTGTGCATAAACACGAAATTCAGCCCATGGCTGCTATGTGTTTTGACGAATAAATCATTCATTCATTCATTCATTCATTCATTCATTCATTCATTCATTCATTCATTCATTCATTCATTCATTCATTCATTCATTCATTCATTCATTCATTCATTCATTTGTTCGTTCATTCATTCCAGGGGAAGACCAAAGTGGAGAAGGACAGGAACAGGCTCAGGCTGGAGATCGAGGACCTCAACGTCGCCTTCGACGCCATTTCCAAGCAAAAGGTTAGACTTCTAACTTTGCTCACCTGCTCACCCGGTCGTCCGCAGCCCTTCTGGTCTGTGTGTCTTCAGCCTGCGTTAGGTCCCAGCCTGTCCCAGAATGCTGCCCCGTGCCCTGCGCCAGGTCTTTTTTCACTTCACCAACGTCCTGTAATCTCTCTGACTTTGGCTTCAAAGATGAAAGTCACTCTTAGAATAAGTACGGTCATCCGAGAATCCACAACAGTACTTGAGCAAAACCTATTTTTGAAATATGATAGCCGTGTAACAAAGAGAGAGACAAAGATCTTTCGGCGTAACATCTAAATATCTTACTGTACCTCTTAATGCACTGCGCAGAAGAGAACGTACCCAGAGTAAAGGACTATGCAACAGACCTTACTCAGCTCACAAATGTGGAAGAGCTCGAGAATGTCATTCTCGTATAGGACTGTCCGTACATAGCTGAAGCTGTAGATCTGTTAACAATTAGGATCTTTCCATGTTCGATACTGACCGAAGGAGGCCATATGTGAGCTCTTTATATTGCTGTAAAAATTGTCCCCGAATCACAATGTTTTGTGTTTGTTTTGCCAGGTCCAGTTGGAGAAGCTGAACAAGCAGCTGGAGCTGGCGTACATCGAGACGACCGTGAAGATCGAGGAGCACTCTCACGCCATCTCCGAGCTGAACTCCGCCAAGAACCGGCTCACTGCCGAGAACGCCGAGCTGGTCAGGCAACTGGAGGAGTCAGACTCCAACAAGGGCGGCCTGAACCGACAGGTTACCGCCTTAACCTCGCAGGTAAGAACCGACAAGTTACCGACAGATTACCGCTCTAAGACAGGTTACCGACAGGTTACCGCCTTAACCTCGCAGGTAAGCCTTATTACATAATTGTTTTTTTTTTATTTACGCAATACCAAGTCTCAGCTTAGCAGGTGTCACAAGGACGCTGTCCAATACCACTGAGGTGGCGGTTAACACAAGTCTTAAATTTGTGTCTGTCCTTTAGAGTTGTTCTTTAGAAAGAAACTGTGGGAGGGAGTTCCAGAGCTGTACTGTTCCCGGTAGGAAGGTTCTTCTGTGGGATGTTGTACATGACAGGTTCCAGAGCGTTGCTGTGTTGCGATCTCGACAGACGGGTTACTTACCTTATTAGAAGCCCCCGCTAGAAGTAATCCAGAAAGTCTCAGCCACACCACTTGGCCATCCATGGCCCTTCGTAGTTCTTTGGTGTCATGCAGGTTTGTGTTACATCGTAGGTTGTCTAAATAGGTGACTTCATGTCTTTCCCTACAGTACTTCTTTTCCCTTTAGCAGTAGGCTCCCAGAGAACAAGATGGAAGGCATTGGCATTAATCGGAATGGCCTTTCTGCAAGGGAATTAGACTTATATCATGCATTTCTCACAGTATGAATCCTGTTTTTTTTTCGCAGGTAGAGGAGGTAAAGCGCGCCTTGGATGAGGAACTCGCAGCTAAAGGCCTGGCCTTTGCCCAGATGCGGGCTGCCCAGGCGGAGCTGGCCTCTCTGCAGGAACAGCTGGAGGAGGAACAGGAGACCCGCGGGGAGCTGCAGCGGCAGCTGGCCAAGGCCAACAGCGAGCTGTCCAACATCAAGGCCAAGTACGAGACGGACGCCACGCAGCGCATGGAAGAGTTGGAGGAGGTCAGTAGGTCTACAGGACATTCGTCTGTGTGGGAAGATTTTTTTTAATTGTTGGACTAAGATGTAGATTTTGGTCATAGTCGTTGTACCGTAGGTACGAGAACAAATTTAGGACACCCTTTTGCTAGGATGCCACGCAGCGCATGGAGGAACTGGAAGAGGTCAGTAGGTCTACAGTGTGTGTTCATCTATGCTGGAGAATGTAGATTATGGTCATATACGCCGTATTGTAGGTACAAGAACAAATTTTGGACACCCTTTTGCTAGGAAGCCACGTAGCATATAGAGGAACTGGAGGAGGTCAGTATGTGCTTATTACGTGCCTAGTTAGTGTTGTACAAGATTCGTAAGACCAGACGGACAAGTTTGATCCTTCTCCTTCGCCGCATATCAGTGCCAGGCATCGACACTGTCCTGTTTGTGTAGTTAGTCAGTTAGCCTTCAGATGTAACACCTAAGTGGCGTATTGTGCAAGCTACCGAAGACCATACATACAGATCTGATCCATTCACGTCAAGATGAACAACTCCTCTGTTCGATAATTTGGATGCGTTCTTTAACATGCACTACGCATTTAAGCGTGGCTGTTCTCAAGCACAGGATCCCCGCTTTCCTTCCCATTAGAGACACTAAAGCAAACTGGGCAGCCCTGGCAGTAAAATGTATAAAAGACATGAAATAAGACAAAAAAAATCCACGTTTCCCACCTGCAGGTTCGGCGTAAGCTGACCATCGCCCTAGCTGAGGCTGAGGAGCAGGTGGAGTCTGCCACGGCCAAATGTAGCAGCCTGGAGAAGACCCGCAACAGGCTGGCGGCGGAGGTGGAGGACCTTCAGGTAAGAATACAATGCATAGGAACAGGTTGAGGTAGCAGTCTGATTGTTCTGTCTCCTTTCTTTACCTGAATTACCCGTGTGGTACTGAAAGTGTCCCGTTAACAAGTTCCATCAAGAAAGCGTGCAAAAAGACGTTTTGGGGTAAGAAAAAATATATCTTGTTGCTTCACCGTAGAGACTTACAAGACGATTAAAGTGAAATATTTCCTTAAACATAACTGTAACGCCATTACAATAGAAGCACACAATGCGCGTGGTGCTAAAAAAAGGTACAAGTACACTTGAACCATAACCTTGTTATGAATTTTAATGTAAAACGTAGTACCTGTTTGCCTCCCCAGGTTGACGTGGAGAAGGCACACTCGCTGTGCCAGCAGCTGGAGAAGAAGCAGTTCCTGTACGACCGGCAGCTGGAGGAGTGGCGCGCCAAGTGTGACGTCGCCTCCGTCGAGCTGGACAAGTCTCAGAAGGAGAGCCGAGAGACGCAGTCCGAGATTCTCAAGGTCAAGGGCGTCCTGGAGGAGGCCCAAGACGCGCTGGAGCATCAGAAGAAGGAGAACAGGTTCCAGCAAGGTTTGGATCTCCCCTATTCTTCACTAACGTGTTCCCAGCATTGTTATATTGTAGAATGAATGAAAACTAAGTAAACGTTGGCCACTGGAATGACATAATCTCATAGCGATGTCTTCCTCTGGTACAGGGGATTGCAACTCAGAAATCCCTTAGGCTGAAACTTCGGCCGTCGTCAGGATGACTGATCAACCGAAACATCCTGGTCCTGACTGCTGCTTATCTGCTATGGAGAATGTTTCAAAATTCTGTGTATTATGTTGTAGCAGATATCAACGACCTCTGCATTGTATTCAACTGCACTTCTAATTTTATTCGCTAGTTACTAGTCACATAGACTTCAGCGTACCATTGAAACTTAGCTCTTGTCACTCGCTTATATCCGGTCCTGTGTATCTTTGTTTTTCTCCAGCTGAGATCCACGACCTGCAGGATCAGCTGAGCGGAAACGCGAAGGTTATAGCAGAGCTGGAGAAGGGCAAGCGCCGCCTGGAGGTAGGCAAAGGAATTACAATGCCCAACAAAACGTAGAGAAATGTTTGTTCTTCTTTAGTTTGTTCTGTTATAGGTTTTAAGAGTTTAAATCTTTTTATTTTGTTGACAAAATACGTTCACGGTGTTTGGGGTGCCCAGACCGCTGAACAAGATATAGGTTTGTATGCGGTCCACAGGTGTAAGATTAGGGTATATTTCACAATAGTTTCTGAGGTAAGGAATTTTGTCGTTCTGGGGACAAACGATAATTCCGTCCTCACCTCAGGTTGAGATTGAGGAGCTTCACGGTTCCCTGGAGGAGACAGAAAACGCGCTGGAGCTGGAGCAGGGGAAGGTGATCCGGGTGCAGATGGAGCTCGCACAGCTCAAGTCCGACATCGACAGGAGGCTGGCCGAGAAGGACGAGGAGTTCGAGAGCACGCTGTGAGTCTTCGCCTTTTTTTGTTAATATATCTTTGACAGTTAGTAGAATATTCATAAATCAGTGACTGTTGAAAGGTAGAGACACGTACCTCCAAATGTCCGCTGTACGTCTTGATCACGGAGTGACCTAGTCTCGCGAGAACACGAGACTACATCGAGACTTGTGTAGATCTGGCCTCCCCCACCTCCTTACAGAGCAGGGGTAATGATATATCTTTATTTTCAAAATAATGACCGAAGGCCATGTACACTGTCAAAGAGGGTAAAGTAAAGCTATATGGGACGATGTGGGTCTTGTTTACTCGTTTCTGGGTTGTACAACTGACGAATGAATTAGACCAGCTACGCTGTGGGTCTTAGTTATTGCTCCATGGTGCTGTAGGATCCGTGTTCTGTTTGCTCTGTGTTCAAAAGCTATGGCAGAAACGCCATGTTATTGTAATGCCTTGTCATGTCTTGTCAGCAGGGCAAGCCCTTTTTAATATAGCCACTGGCAAGTGTGACCGTCCTGACTATGTTTGGACAGCCAAACCAATAGATAGAATAGATAAGATAGAAAATATAATTTGATTTTAATTTTTTTCTAATGAATTCTACCATCCTGTGCTCACAGCAAGCTTCACCAGCGCGCCCTTGACACCATGAACCAGAGCATAGATCTGGAGTCTAAGGCCCGTCTGGAGGCTGAGCGGGTCAACACCAGCCTGGCGCAGCAGCTCAGCGAGCTGGAGACCGCTCTGGAGACCGCCAACAAGGCCAACCAGGAGAGCCGCAAACTGCTGGGCTCACTGCACCAGAACATGCAGGAGTTACAGGTCCGTTACAGACCCTTGGTATTGTTTGTAGTCTATGGAAACAAATGAAGAAATGTGCCTACAAATGTTTTCCAGGGAGAGCTAAGTCGCGGTCGAGCGAACACACAGAATCTCAAAACAAGTTTATCATTTGTGATTGGCAGCCGTATTGGACTCAAATTCAATACAAAGTCGATTCGATTAGGATTTACAGGTCGATCGGTTGGCGACGCTTGGGTGTTGTTAGTACTTAGCGTTATGAAATGTCGATGAAAAAGTGTGGTTGAGATTAGGGAGAAATTACACATGTTTCACATGTGAATCGTATCATTGCCCCCCCCCCCTCCGCAAAAAAAATAAAAGTTAGGAAAAAAAGATCTACATCACAACAGGACATAGCATGAAAGTTCATGAAGGTAGCAGAATTTGGGGCCATGAATCGTGCAAATGGAAGAACCTAACAAAACTAAGTAATGTGCCAGCTACTGGTGTAGTCACTTAGACAGAAAGGGTTTTGCAGACGTTTAATGTTTTCCCTCCTTCCAGATCAAGCTAGACGAGGAGCAGCGCGTGCGTGAGGACCTGAAGGACCAGATCGCCATCAAGGAGCGGTACTGTAACTCCATGGCCAGCGAGATAGAGAGCCTCCGAGCACAGCTGGACGAAGTCGACCGCATCCGCAAGGTGAGTCCATACGCCATGATACACATACACATACGGTTCCCGGGGAGGAACACTGTCACCCTTCTTGAATAGGTTTGCCCCGCCCCGGGGTGAGTGCCGGTAGAGGTTGGGTTTGGTGGGGAAAAAATTCAGTGCAAAAGAGAAACCCCGATAAAAAAGCCTAAAAACATGCCAAAAATGACCCAAACCTCTGCTTGGAAGAGTACACATATGTATCTGGAAAGGCAACATGTAAGGCAATATGCTTGTTTAGTCCATATATTACCTACATATATAAAGTGCGTAATTTGAGAGATTGTGCACGTATAGCTTTCTGGCATTTCGCTCAAGAAGAACAGAATCTGAGATAGAGAGCCTCCGCGCCCAGCTAGACGAGGTCGACCGCATCCGCATTCTAATCACACACTCGTTCACTTACTTACTCATTCAGACAAACCTAATACATACATAGAAATGCGTTCATCAACAACGGTTTCGCTGGAAACCACGCCGAGTTAAAACTAGATTCTAGATTAATTCAGGACTGCCACTCTTGCTGCTGTTTTAAGCGAGTTAAGTTAAGCTACATCAGTGCCCATCACTCTTCACTTAAACGCGACGGGGGCCGACATCGTCTACCAGATACCTTTGACCCAGTGTTGACGTCACACTTCAAATAAGCCACGTGACAAGTCTCACTGGGTCAGTCTACTGAGGAAGACCAGAGTGACTGGTCGAAGGCTCTAGGTGAGAGAACTTTTGTGTTGGATCAAAAGTTCTAACTCTAAACGACTCTATCTCTTTCCCACCCAGATCGCGGAGGTGCAGCTCGCTGAGGCGAACGACCGTCTGAATGAGCTGACGACGCAGAACAGTGGTCTGGTGGCGCAGCGCCGTAAGCTGGAGGGAGACATCCACACTGTCCAGTCGGAACTGGAGGAGCAAGTCAGCTCGCAACGTCAGGCAGAGGAGAAGGCCAAGAGAGCCATCAGCGACGTGAGAACACATTTCTTTTATATTCCAATCAGATGTAGTTGTCATAGTTTTAGTTTTAGTGACACAGGGCTTACCCTAAGGGAAGCAGAGACTATTGCCCTTGATAGAGCTGGTTGGAGGAACCTGACGGAGGGGAGCAAGGGGCCAGTACCTGGCCTGTGCATATAGGCAGGCAGGTAGGCAGGCAGTTTGTAGTTTAAGCTGGAGGGAGACATCTACACCGCCCAGTCAGAACTGGAGGAACAAGTCAGCTCTCAGCGTCAGGCCGAGGAGAAGGCCAAGAGAGCCATCAGCGACGTAAGAACAGATTTCCTTTTAATCAAATATAGCTGTGATAGTTTTAGTGTAAGCTGGAGGGAGACATTCACACTGTCCAGTCCGAGCTGGAGGAACAAGTCAGCACTCAGCGTCAGGCTGAGGAGAAGGCCAAGAGAGCCATCAGCGATGTAAGTGCACTTTTGTCTTATTCAACACATTTATAGTTTGTCTGTTCAAGTTCCTCACAGCCAGGACAGCCCAACTAGTCAGTGGCTATTACAAAGGGCTGCTGACAAGACATGACAAAACATTACGGCAACATATAAGGTGGCTTAACAATCTACACAACTATTGCATTTTATGTAAAAACTTATAAACAGTTGATATTGATGTTTGTTTCTTTTCTGTATGCAGTGGAATATGAAATGCCCATCAGGAATAAATACTTGTTGATATGAGAGAATCCCAAGAGAATTTTGAGAAAACTGAGGAAGTCTTGTTTTCGCCATTTCAGGCGTCCCGTTTGGCAGAGGATCTCCGTGCTGAGCAGGAGGCGGCCCAACACGCCCTGAAGGTCCAGGCTACCATGGAGGCCAACCTGAAGGACCTGCAGCGCCGCATCGAGGAGGCTGAGCAGGCTGCTATCAAGGGCGGCCGCCGCGCTGTGCAGAAGCTCGAGACTAGGGTCAGTAACACTACAGTAGAACTGCAGTAAAACTACAGTAACGCTACAGTAACATTATAGTAACGCTACAGTAACACTAACAGTAGAACTGCAGTAACACTACAGTAGAACTGCAGTAACATAGAGGAGGCTGAGCAGGCTGCCATCAAGGGCGGCCGACGTGCTGTGCAGAAGCTCGAGACCAGGGTCAGTAACACTACAGTAACACTACAGTAGAACTACAGTAACATTACAGTAACGCTATAACATAGAAGAGGCTGAGCAGGCTGCCATCAAGGGCGGCCGCCGTGCAATGATGCAAGTTTAAATTTTGATTTTCAGCACAAGAAATTAGACTTACTCAAATTTTCGACTGTACAACTCCAGTCTTTGTCAATTCATGAGCAATATCCCCCCTCTTTCGTGGCACCACGTCATGTAGATGGCACACATGGCTCGGTGAGCAGTGGATGGTAGCTAGCAGAAAGTCTGTGGCGCCCCCCGTATTTCATATGAAAACTTTCAAGATGACAAGATGAACCTTCAGTTATTTTGTATTAATTTTAGGTCCGTGAGCTGGAGCTGGACATCGAAGCTGCGCAGAAGAAGCACCAGGAGGACCTGAAGGGCCTGCGCAAGAACGACCGTCGTCTTAAAGAACTCACCTTCTCGGTAAGGATCTTAACAAGAACCTTCACTTTCGTCGTTTAAGGAACTTAAGCAAAACCCTCGCTTTCGCTTCAAAATAACGCTGGACATCGGTGGTAAATACTCAGGTATTACAGTCGTGAGGTTTGAAGTGAAATCCATATTCAAGACACACCATTTGCTACATCAGATTTACTACATACGCAATACTGTAATTTAGGAAGAATTGAAGATGAGAAACATGTTGTAACAATACAAGAAAAAGAGACAGCAGAACGAAATTTTAACTTATTCCTAGTTACTTGAAAATGATATATGTAACGTTATCTGTATATATCGTTATCTTCTGTTGTGACATGTACTTAACCCAGCGGGTATGTAACTATGTATAATATATAAAGGTCTTCATCCAATGCGGTAGTATATACATGTAATATGTCAATACACCATCGTACCCATTGTTGATGTGAGCTTAAAATAATTGATACTTGATGTTTTCCAGTCTGAGGAGGACCGTAAGAACCAGGACCGTCTGCAGGAGCTGATTGAGAAGCTGCAGGCGAAGATCCGCGCTCTCAAACGCCAAGTGGAGGAGACGGTATGTATGTCCTTACAGCTATGGCCGCACCTGGGGTCGTATTGAGGTCACCTGAGTTAGCGCCGAATGGCAGCCGCTCCTATCCAGACCCTTGTGATTAAGCTCAAATAATTGTAAGCTCCTCACAATTCAGCTCTGGCAGCGAAGAAAAAAGTAGCAGACTTACCCCATAGCCAACTTTTTGTGGCCGTAGAGGCAGTGGGTTGCTCCATTATATTTCGGGCACAGTTTTTAAATCGGGCCCCATCCCTCTCCTTCTATCGCCTAATCACAATATAGGATGGTTGTTTGATAGCCTACACCAGGCCTTCCAATGGGAATACGGATCGTCGCATTTGGCAAAAAGGAAAACAAAATCGGCCAGGTGAATCAGGTTACGGAAAGTTGATTCTTGCCAGTCAAACCCCAAGGCGGCCAAACTCCCCTGGCAAACATTCTCCCAATATATAGCCAGCGTAGTTTAACTAGTCTGGTAGGGTCTAGTTGTTTGTAACCTTCATATTCCTGCAACAAACCTTCTATGTGTGCATCCCCAGGAGGCCAGCGCTAGCCAGAGCCAGTCGAAGTTCCGGCACTGCCAGCACGAGCTAGACGACGCACTGGAGCGGCTGGAGATCGCGGAGAGCGCGCTGGTCAAGCTGCTCTTTCCAGCCTGGTAGAGGCTATGAGAGACTAACGAACCTTCTATCTGTCTGCTCACCCCAGGTCAATTTCTGGTCAATTTCTGCTCTTTCCAGCCGCCTCCCGAAGCCTGGTAGAGGCTATAAGACACTAACAAACCTTCTATGTGTGTGTCCCCAGGAGCCCAGCGCGAGCCAGAGCCAGTCTAAGTTCCAGCACTACCAGTTTATTGCAAATACAAGGACACACAGACAGACCGACACATACACAGACCAAAAACTATACCCCATTTTTCATGGAGGTAATAACACGTATGACGAAGAATATACAACAACATAAGAGGCTAACAAAACCGTTTTATCTATTCCCTTTAGGAGGCTAGCGCGAGCCAGAGCCAGTCCAAGTTTCGGCACTGCCAGCACGAGCTGGACGACGCAATTTCCGCTCTTTCCAGCCGCCTCCCGAAGCCTGGTAGAGGCTATAAGAGACTAACGAATCTATCTGTGTGTGCCGTACAGGAGGCCAGCGCGAGCCAGAGCCAGTATAAGTTCCAACACTACCAGTTTATTGCAAATACAAGGACACACAGACAGACAGACAGACACACACACGGACCAAAAACTATACCCCATTTTCATGGAGGTAATAACACGTATGACAATGGTATAAGAGACTAACGAACGTTCTATCTGTGCGTACCCAGGAGGACAGCGCTAGCCAGAGCCAGTCCAACTGCCGTCACTGCAAAGCATTCCGGGGGCCCGATTACAATTACAATAAGAGAGTAACGAACGTTCTGTCTCTATTCCCTTCAGGAGGCCAGCGCTAGCCAGAGCCAGTCCAAGTTCCGGCACTGCCAGCACGAGCTAGACGACGCCCTGGAGCGGCTGGAGATCGCGGAGAGCGCGCTGGTCAAGCTGCGCCACAAGACCGAGGTGGTCACCACCGTCACCCGCGGCCCGGGGGGCTCGGTCGTTCGCAGGACCACCCGCAGGGAGACATCCGACTAACTGCACAGGTGAGACGCCTGCGAAAGTAGCCTAGTAGTGGATACTAGCTGAAACGTCTGACTGTTTCTAAAATCATATCCAGTTGCTTGAGTAACTGCTTTTTGGCGTAGCTTAGGCTTAGCCTTAACTGTTCTGCATGCAAGCTGCGGTACAAGACCGAGGTGGTCACCACCGTCACCCGGGGACCGGGCGGCACGGTAACCCGCAGGACCACGCGCAGAGAGACATCCGACTAACCGCACAGGTGAGATGCCTGCCTGCGTAAATAGCTTAGGCTTAGCCTTAACTGCATGTTCTGTATCTTGTGTTGTTCCTTTTCTTTTGTCCCTAAGCCTGGCCCCTTGCGCTAGGTAGTCCCTCTCTGTTAGACCGCCCAGAGACCTACCAAAACTCGTAAAACGACGTAACACACCAGCTTCTGCTTCTCTATCTGTATGTGCATCGCCGACATAACCGCTCTTCGGCACCAGCTTCCAGACATGCGGCGCGTATATATACCTAATAGTACTTCATTTTGTACGTACTAAAACGCATACTGTTTGCTGCTCTGATACTTAAGACGTACAAAAGACTACAAACCAAGAACGGTCTCCTATCAACAAGCGTGGTAAGTTCTTTAGCGTGCTAGACGTGTGGCTTTCCTGCATGAAGCACGGGACGTAACGTCCTATCCAAGAGATGTCCCTAACGAGAGGCCATAGGCACTCATTTCCAACTGAGCGACGTGAGGAAATTCGTGCAAAGTGCCTTTCCTAAGGACTAGTATAACAGCTCATCGGCCTAACACATCAGCGCAGTGTAATCTGTATATTGCATAACCCCCCTAGGCCTTCGGCTTACTTGGCTTAACACACCAAACCCTGGGCAAATTTAAATACGCACCACGATGCCACGTCCATCCCTGTGTGTGTTTTCCAGAAGACCTGCGCGGAACGGACTCACCACATCAGACCCACGGACCGGAAATGGACCCGAGTGACGTTTGCTGTCGTCAGATCCGCCTGATGACGTCACATCTATCCTTACACCAACTTTTACTCCCCGCCATATTGGAACCACGTTTAAATGGTGTAACTCTCAATGAGAAAGATGTTCAGACGCACATCGTAACGCACTATATATTGAGTAAACCATTGTACAACGAAGAAAGACTTGAAGTACACGATCTTTAAACATGGTGTTTGCCGTATGTGCGAGGAGTAAACGTTTTGAATTTTTCCCTGTATCTTGTTTGCAAGTTTGTTGGCATATTAGGAATAAAGTTTGAAAAAGTAACTTTGTCCCTGTCTTTCTTTTCCCTGCATTGCACCTACAAGATTATTATTACACATAGGTTACATATTGTTACCAAATCTCAACTGATCAATGTTCTAGTTTAAACGACATTCGGCGTAACACAAATTCTGTCTTTCGAAGTACTGCCTGGCAGTGGGGTAGTCCAAAGTAGTGAAGGCATTTTGACAGTGAGTACAACTGGGTATACCACGTAACTTTGTAGCTATGAAGTACCAGGTAGCCTCAGGGCATGGCACGCAGCTGGCTAGATATAGACCGTCGTGTACTTCTTAGTATTTCAACCGTAGTCTGCAACCTGGAAATTTGTACCAGGCTGATGGGAGGCGGTCCATTACTCCTGACTACAGTACTCTAGCCGTATCTATTCTGAATTTTCATGTGGGAATAAGATGAATGAAAAAATACATATTGTAGTTTCGTGTACCAAATGCAGGTCGTCTTGCATTAGATCTAGTAATTATGAATTAACAAATTATGAATTTTGTTAGATATTAGGTCTTTTGAGACGATGAGACGGTGCTTTCGAAAAAAAAAGTTTGTTGAATAGAGCGAAACTAATTCTTCCCGGCCTGCTGATGCAGGTCTGTACAATAATAGACCTTCAGCCCGCCGCCGTCTGCTGACCCGATTTGGGCATTGGATAAGCCTAAGAGAGATAAGAAATCAGGAACGCTTACCGAGGAACCCGGGGGCACGTAGCCTGGTATCCAGTCTTACATGATTAGGGCTGTTGGGGTGTTCAGGCAGGGCTTAACCGGGCGGCTCGTAGCATTTAACAACCAAGCGAAGGAAGCCCTCCCTGCTAAGTAACTTCATACTTCAGTACTAGTGGACCTAATTCTATACCAATACCAACAGAACGTAATCTTAAAGAAATTACTATAATATTTTACGAATCGGTAAAATTTTGGATGAGTAGGAAACATATAGGAAACCTACATAGTTAATGCACTGATTAAGGAAAGAGATACAAGTGGTAGCCAACTCAAGTAACAAGTAACGTCGATGAAGGTTAGACATCCAGGTAATACGATACGCCAAAAAGCAGTTACTCAAGCAACTGGATATGATTTTGGAAAAGGATTTTGGCGCAAGTAGCAAGTTATTTTAACGCTTACTTTGACCACTTACTTACTTAGGACTGCCACTTACCACTAAGTTAAGTGTAAGTGCTAGCACTTACCCTTAACAAAACACATATGTTATTAAGTTAAAACCCAATATAAATGAAATATACATCGGATAATAAATATGCAACACAACGATATAGTTTCTGACGACGCAAGCCTGGAACTTTGCGAAATGGGTTGAATTACAAGATTGTTTGTTTCGTATAACCGGTAAATCACCTTTAGGCACAACACACCAGTTTTGTACATGTAAGTGCAAGCTGCGTAAGACCAGACTGTAATGTTTGAACAAGATAGGTGGCATCGGGTAGGATTCGAACCCGGAACCTCTTGGTTCAAGGCCTAACACACTACCGCTACTCCACACGACCCCACATGTGGAGTGTTTCTAAAGAGGGTACTCTTCTTCAAATCTCTAACATAAACAAGCCATTACTCTCCGTAAATATCAAGTCTAAAGTCAAACGTTTAAGATAAGCAGCAACGTTAGTACAAACTTGAACGCATTTTAGGCTACACCATCACCATATGATAGCAGATAGCGTTACTCGCTCTGCTTGTGGATAGAACATACCATATACGATTTGATGGCAGGTTGAGATTACACTAATAATAGTGCATAATCTTACACCCGAGGGGCTGGCTACATTCTCGCCTATAAAACCTGCGGAGACGCCCTTTTCTGCACACAGCCTGTCCTCTTCTTCTGGTGAGTATCTTGCTTTCGACCTCCTCATTTCTTTCAATACACATTGTTTTGTTCATTCTCTCTTGCTATAAGGATTAGACAGACTTTGATACTAGACAACATCTTAGGAAGATGCCTGATAGGGAACGTCTTGTGAAAAAGAGAATAGTAAGTGAAGAACAAAGTACAAATTTTGCAAGGAAAACCCCACAGCTTCATTTCTTTTAATACATACTGTTTCTGTTTAGTTCGTTCTTTCTTGATATAAGTCTTGGACAGACTTTGATACTAAGGATTCTAGGTTGATACCTGCTAGAGATATTCTTGTGAACTTGTTATAGGAAGTAAAGAACAAAGTACGTACAAATTTTGCAAGGAAAACCCTCAGCTGAGTATATCACAAATGTATGATATTTGCTTCCTTTACATGATTGATAAAATCCTTAGCTGTACGACTTTTGATTTCACTAAACGATACAAGTGAAGTATGTTCTTGAAGAACACAAGCCTTATTACCATTTGGAAAACTCAGGTATAATTCCCTCTGCTAAAGAAAATGCAACCTTGGTTGTTATCCATGAAAGTTCGATGTAAGACTTGACATTGACGCTGTTTGTTCCTGCCCCAGTCAGTCTGTGTGGTGAAGCCTCCCCGCTAAGTCAAGATGCCGGCCTACGGACCCTCCATGATGGTAAGTAATTCTTTTACTTACGGGACAAGTCACTAATGAAGGGGGGGGGGTAGTTAAGTGACAATGGATAAAATACTAGTACTTAACTCAAGAAAATGCCCTGGCGGATGGTGCTGAATACAAAAATGTATTTATATATCGACTGCCTTGACTGCAAAAACGGTGAAATTTTGCATGCCATTACTTGCGGATTTAGACTGATGTGCAGATACCAATTCCATAGACATAGTTTCATCGGGTAGATTTTTAAGGAGCCTTAAACACTTGCCGAGAAAAGTAGGAATGACTCTTGATTAAACGTTAACCAGACTTCCCCTTAAGCTAAAATACTGTAGTTTTATGCTTACTAAGAGTATACAACTACTAAATGGTATATCTTCTTCTTACAACGGAATCACTTTTAAGGAGGGCTGTTATTTGGTCTTGTATAGCAGCGTAGCCTCACTTCCTAATATAGAAGAAGCAGCGATCTTAGAGAGATAGCCTGGATATTACGTTACATTCTTAAGGCTTTCCCTTGAGAACCTAGGGGTTATTTTGATACCAGAGCCAGGTCTGCGCATCAAATTTGGTCATGTGGGTTCGGAGTGCCTTAGATTCTTAGTTTTACTTGATATTAGGATTGATAATTTATAGTACGTACTCCATAGCATCACAAGTTTGCCGAACTGTTATATTTCTCGTGGCAAGTACCAACAGAATAAATTTATGAATAGACAATATTTTCGACTGAATTACCCAGTCCCTAGCTATCTAAATCAGTCGTTTAGGATCATGGCTTTATGCACGTGTGACGTCATCGATGGGTCAAAGGTTGTAGGAAGTCGGTATCGCCCCCCCCCCTGTCATCATGATACATGCAGTACATACAAACAATAATATTAGGATAGAATAAATAATAATGGTCATAATGATAAAAAATGATAACGAAATCATAACGATATTGAATAGCAATAATAATACAATGATGGAAATGTTGAATTACATTATCAAATCTCCCACACCGTCAACCATAAGAAACTGTTAAACTTTGGAACAATCTTCCGAGGGAGATCGCTAAGATCAGGGACAGACAGAGATTGCAATGTGAAGTTAATTCTTTCCTCAGCGCAAAACTCTGACAGCGGTCTGTCTAGGCAGCCTGTCTGCTAATGCTGAGTGAGAGCTGACATAGAAAAAAAATCATACAAAATTTTTTTTTCACAGGATCAGCCCTCGGAGCGTTTCCTTTACGGAGACCCCGAGGACATGAAGAAGCTGCGGTCGGCTCCTTACGACGCCAAGAAGAACTGCTGGGTTCCCGATGCGCAGGAAGTGTTTATCGAGGCCGAGATCAAGGCCAAGAAGGGCGACCAAGTCACGGTCACCACCAGGACCGGCAATGTGAGTGGCTGTTCTCTTATTTTGATGTTTTTATTTTTTGTTTATATTTTGATAAGCTTTAACTACGTTGAGTAGAATTTGCACATCTCCTTTTTTTCGTTAGATTTTTTAAGCTGAACTGAATTTTATTACACATATTTAGGTGCCAATTCGACCTAAATGTAAAATCATTTGGTACTGTTGAATTATTGAGAATGTTAAGGTTTTGAGAATGTTGAATTTTTGAAAATGTTAAATTTCTGACAATGTTGAAACTTGGCAATGTCAAATTTTTGACAATGTTAAATTTTTGACAATGTTAATCTTTTGACAATGTTAAATAATCTTTTGACAATGTCAAATTTTTGACAATGTTAACATTTTTGACAATGTTAAATTTTTGACAATGTTAATCTTTTGACAATGTTAAATTTTTGACAATGTTGAATTTTGGACAGTGTTTTATCTCTGAAAATGTTGAATTTTCGACAATGTTTCAATTTTTGACAATGAAATTTTAAACACATACATTTTTGACAATGTTGAATTTTTGACAATGTTGAATTTTTGACAATGTAACATTTTTGACAATGTAACATTTTTGACGTCTTTTTGAGAACGTTGAATTTTTTGACAAGGTAGAATTTTTGACAGTGTTGAAATTTGACATTGTTCACTTTTTGGATAAGGTTGGATTTTTGACAATGTTGAGATTTGACAAAGTTGACTTTTTTGACAATGTTAAAATTTTGACAATGTAACATTTTTGACGTTGTCTTTTTGAGAACGACAATGTTGAAATTTGACAATGTTGACTTTTTGATAAGGTTGAAATTTTGAAAATGTTGAAATTTAACGATGATATTTTTTTTAATTTCAGACCATCACGGTGAAGGCCGGTCAAATCCAGGACATGAACCCGCCCAAGTTCGCATGCGCGGAGGACATGGTGAACATGACGTTTCTGAACGAGGCGTCCGTCATCAACAATCTGCGCACGCGCTACGTCAACACCCTGATCTATGTACGTATCCGGGATACTTTATGAGTTTGACAATCTAGAGAGGATGCTCGTACTGTACTTGATGGCACCGAGTTCCACTCTAGGACAGCCTATAGGAAACAAATCATGTGTAACGCCTATCTATAGTAACACTACAGTAACGCTACAATAACTGCGGGAACACATTAGTAACACTACAGTAGAACTACAGTAGCATTACAGTAGAACTACAGTAACACTACAGTAAATTAACAAAAACATCACAGTAACTCTATATTTTCATCTCCAGACCTATTCTTGGCTGTTCTGCGTGGTCATCAACCCGTTGCGCTACAGTAACGCTACAGTAGCACGACAGTGGCACTACGTAACACTTGGTACATATTTTATCCTCCCTTGCAGACCTATTCTGGGCTGTTTTGCGTGGTGATCAACCCGTTCATGCGGCTGCCGATCTACGGAGAGAACGTGGTGAAGATTTACCGCGGCAAGAGGAAGCAGGAGGTCCCGCCTCACCTGTTCTCTGTGGCTGATGGAGCCTACATGAACATGAGGGGCGGTACGCACTTCATTCACTTTCTTTTCGAGTTTACAATTACATGCAGTGTGCTTTTTGGGTTGCACTTCGCTTTTAATTGTGCCTGCAGTGTGCCAGATATTCAACTGGATTTCTTTATGTTAGCCAGGGTTTGTCTTCTGAAGTACAATTGGCTACATTGTTCAAATTGTTAGATTTTCCATAAAATCTTTTGTTGTTTCTTGTTTCACAGAGAGGGTGTGCCAGTCTATGTTGATCACGTAAGTATGCTTTTGTACACCATATACATGTGTACAACATATTTCAGATGTTCACCTAGTATGGAAATACATAATTACGATTGAATATTGGGGGTGTCTTTTTAAGCAACTAGAAATATCTCTCCCCTGCTGACGTTTCCATGCCTATCAGACATCTTCAGACCTCCAAGAGTACTGCTTTTCGCCACTAAAAAATGTGGGTGAAGTGTGTCCTATTGGCATTAATAAAACTTTATTTGCAAAATCATGCCCGAAGGCTAATTGCTTTTACAATCAAGTATACTACCCATTGCAATACATTAACAGAAGACAGGTGACAACTGTCTGGAAAAACTTCTACTTCTACTTCTACTACTACGCTAGCTATTATGAGACTATATGGTAAAGAAGACGCCTAGATTACACTAACCATGATCGCTTTGACACCTTTTCTCATCAGCGGCGAGTCCGGTGCCGGTAAGACTGAGAACACGAAGAAGGTTATCGCCTACTTCGCCCTGGTCGGTGCCAGCCAGACAGCCGGAGACGCCGACCCGTCCGCCAAGAAGGTACATCGCGAAATATCTTCGTCTTCGGCCTTCATCTTTGCAAAATATATGTCACTCCATATAAAGACGATGCAACTTTCATACAGTTCTGTTGAATAGAATTCTAGAAGGTTTAGAATTTCGAAGGGTTTCATCATTAAATTTGCAGCTCTGCTAAGAAGATACAGCGTAAAATATCTCTTCGTTCTCGGCTCTTGCCCTTGCAACATTTATGTAAGTCTTCCGTGAATAGTGTCATGTTTGTGAACTTTTGAATAAATAGTATAAAACGTTCTACATTCCTAACTACTTGTTTAACAAAAGCTGATGTCTCTATGACCGACTGTTGTCTAAATCAAGGCGATTATGATTATGCCCTGATTAACTGACAGACGGTCATCGAAACGTCGACTCTTGTCAGAATTTTGGCTGTGAGTTAAGAATTCTGCTTTTCTTCATATAATTCTGTAAGAAGAAATCTTATCGTCAAAATATCATGATAACCATCTCTGTGGACTAGAATTGTAGAATGTTTAAATTTTCAAAGGATCATTAAAATCTAATTTCAAAATTTGAATGTCACTTAGTACTTTTTATCTTACAATACCAAATCAACAACCCCCGCTTACCCTGTTGCCCTGTTGTTACTACATGGCTTCTACACGGCTTTTATTGTATGATAAACGTATCTACTTGTTTCTGCTAGGTCACCCTTGAGGACCAGATCGTGCAGACCAACCCTGTACTGGAGGCCTTCGGTAACGCCAAGACTGTCAGGAACAACAACTCCTCCCGTTTCGTAAGTCAACGCCGAGAATTTAGTTTGCTAAAAAGACATTACAACTTTTTGATAAGAATGAATTGGTGGATTTGAAAGATAATCTGTGCCTTATGCCCAAGCATGTACAAGTCAAAGTCATTACCTGAGCAATAAAAAACGAGTAAGAAGGTCAAATTCTAATTCTGACTTCTAATTAGTGGCCATTTCGGAACACACTATCTTTATTTCGCTTGCCTTATTTGTTCAAGAGCTGCATTTTGTATTGACAGTGGCAATGAACTTTATTGCATATTCACGCCCTACATGTACATGGGCCAAATGTACTGTTAGATAACTGAAGTACTAGGATAGAAGAAACATGAGTTACATTGCTTAGAAAGGCCAATTAATTCACATCCTCAGTATTACGCTTGCTTTCCCCAGTCTGATATCGCGCGTCTCTTGTCCTCTTTCAGGGAAAGTTCATCCGAATCCATTTCGACCAGAGGGGTATTCTGGCCGGAGGCGACATCGAGACTTGTGAGTAACCTTTAGCACCAGCTCCATATAAACAGAAAAAAATTAAATTCAAATATTAACAAAAAAGAAAAGAAATAGCAAAGATGCTTATGATATTGTCACATATAGTGCTGCACCAGTAGTTGCTACAATGTAAGTAGTATTTGATAAATCTAAAACATGTCACTGCTGACTTTTCTATACACGTGTAAACTGTATGTATAAAGTGTCAGGTATGTGGTAATTATGCAAACTGCAGCATCCGCGCTTTTAAGCGAATCTTCTTCACTTCTATTGGCACGATGCTCTTTAAATTGCCCACCGCTTCAAGGTATAAAAAAGAAGCTAGCGCTGCTTCAATTATGCAGAAACTGAAACCATTCATTCCGTGCTACGTCTTCAGTCTGCAAAGCCAAAACCAAAATATCAAGAGATTTTTTTCAGTAAACTTAAAGCCTCATTCATGCATTTTCCAACAATGATATATGTTTTTTCTACAATAAAATAAAGACTAAGCTTTAACTTCCAACACTTAGATTTCGTTTAACTTCTACGTGTTGGAAGTTAAAGCTCATTCTTTATTTGATAATGACTTGTGCCGACACAACTGAACTTTCATGCTGTTTTTTGTTACAAGTATTATACTTGATGCTCTGTGAAAGAGAAGAATGGGCACGGAATGCGTGGCGGATTTTGTTGTATTTCTGGGTCAACAAAACTGTTGGTTTCAGACTTACTGGAAAAGTCGCGCGTGATTAAGCAGCTTCCGGGAATGGAGCGGTGTTACCACATCTTTTTCCAGCTGTTTTCGAACGGGGTTCCAGGAACCACTGGTAAGTCATCAGTGTCATCAGCCAATGGACCAGTGACGTAACGATGACGTGACATGACGTGTTGTTTCAGATCTTCTCGAGAAATCTCGCGTGATCGCCCAGCTTCCGGGAATGGAGCGAGGCTACCATATTTTCTTTCAGCTCATGTCGAATGGTATCCCGGGCACTGTAGGTAAGAGAACCAAAAAGTCAGCTGATGCCCTGCCTGCCCTCCCATTGGCCGAATGACTCTCCTTATTTGGACGTGACGCATGACGTGTGAAACGAATTGACTCATGGGAGACTCTAACTCGGTGTGACAGCTAACGAACTAGTCTCCACCAGACTCCTTTGCAGGCAAACTCCTTTGCCTACGCAGGCCAACTGTACCCTCTATCTGTATCTGTATCTGTATACGTATAACCGCCTTTCGGCGTAACACACCAGCTTCGCAGACACGCAGTGCGGCGGCAGTTGGCTACATTAAACCGATCGACTTGTTACACCTAACCCTTGAAGATCTAACTATAGACTTCGTTTAAAGCTATCTAATGACAATGCCCCTACAGTACTAGGTGACAGCGAGTCCCACTCTGCGATAGTTTTAGGAAAGAATGAATGGCTGGCCAACTCCCCTGGTCAGCTACATCCTTTTTTTAGGCCGATTTCGAATTCTACTATTAATTCAGCCTGCAAAGGATTCTGGTGGAGACTACTAACGAATGACGTCAGCTTACTGATTGACATGATTCAGACGTGACGCATGACGCACGAGTTTGACGTCATAGACGTTTTGATTGCGTTTTGAGATGAAAGTAACTTTGTGTTAAGTAAAGTGATTGAGAAACTAAAAAGTAACAACGAATAACTCAACTAAAGAAAATAACTTGGTAAGTGTTAGCAGAAACATATTACTATATTTCATGCTGAGGTCACATTTCCAAATCCTTGGCTCGCAAGGACTGTTTGCATGAACGAAAAATCAACACTTCATATCAAGAATATACACAAATACTGCTCATAAGTAGTTTTTTTTACCGGAAACTTCTGAGCGTCGGGTTAGGAATTTTGACCTTAGCATTTCTTCCGTTATAAACAATGGATAAAAGATAATATACATATATGCCCGTTGCTCATCTTCCATCAATCTCAAATTTACAAAATAAAACATCTTTTACAAATTCACTGACCACGTTTTCATCTACCTGGAACACAGAGCGCATGCTGCTGAAGAAAGAACCATCGTTCTACAAGTTCGTGAAGGTAAATGATTCAACCTGTACCTTTTAATTGTATATACATCTGCAATTAGGTTTCTGTAATTTTGACATTGTAAATTATAAATGATGTTATATTGATTGAACTTGAACTAAAAAGTAACAACGAATAACTCAACTAAAGAAAATAACTTGGTAAGTGTTAGCAGAAACATATTACTCTATTTCATGCTTGATTCTTTTAAAGTCTTTAATCTTCCTAGCAAATTTGATATTGCATTGTAAATTAGCGTAGCGTGCGTAGTCCAATGGTTAGCACAAGATATTGGGATTCAAAATCCCGGCTGTTGTCTCTCACCCGACATGCACGCTACTGGAAAGGGTCGCAGTCCTTAGGATGGGATATTAAGCCATAGTCCACTGTTCATTGTGCTTGTGGAAAAGAGCTAGTGGAATTTCCCCGGTACAATGAACCTGTAAATACTGTACATAGCGTCTGTCTTCTCTGTTATGACCAGTGGGAGACTAGCTCTTCAGTGAGCTAGAACTGTTTCGGGATCACGATCACTTTCAATTAACGATAATTCATATTTCTTTAGTCTGCCGAATGCTTATAATTTTCTTATGTCTTATGTGCAGGAGGGAGTTCATCATAAAAAGCATCATAAAACCAAAAATTTCTCCTCTGGTCTCTCAGTCACTGACGAAAGCTAGTGGATACTAGCTGAAACGTCTGACCGTTTCCAAAATCATATCCAGTTCCTTGAGTAGCTGCTTTTTGGTGTATCGTATTACCTGGATGTCTAACCTTCATCGAAGCACTAAGATATGTCCTATGACTAAGATATCCTATGCCTGACTGTCTTCTGTGCAGGAGGGAGTTTACGACGTAGCCGGGCTGGATGATGGGGAAGAGTTTCGCGCCACGGACGAGGCTTTTGACATCCTCAACTTTAAGGCCGACGAGAAGGAGAACATCTACAAGATGTGCTCAGCCATCCTCTGGTTCGGCAACAGCCGATTCGCACAGAGGGGCGAGCAGGGAGAGCTGGAGAGCATCGAGGGTAGGGGAAATATTTTCACTCTGCAGAAACGTTTTTGTGGATACAAGTCTTTTGTATGTGGGGTCATGTGGCGTAACGACAGAGCGTTCGACTCGGAAAGAAGAAATCAAATCCTGCCAAGCCACCGGTATTGTGCCCCTGGGAAAGACACTTAACACGAGTTTCTTCACTTTACTCAGGTGAAAATGAGTATGTCTGTTGTCCGTTTATGTGCTATTCTGCGTTGATGGCGGCATAAAATAAGTTGAAAAAAATCTTGAGTGTGCCGTCATGTGTGTCTTGTAATAAATTGTGGAATAGGAAAAAAAAGCCTATTGTAAGCTAGATTATGATCTAGAGAACCCCATGAAGTGTGCCCTAAATAACGCAATGTCAAATCTTAAAAAGTAGTCTGCAACCTTAAAAAAGGTATCTTTCCCATAATCTTCCCACAGAGATGCAGAAGGTTGGCCGTCTGTTCGGCATCGATCCTGACGAGTTCGGGAACGCGATCTGCAAGCCTCGCGTGAAGGTCGGGGCGGAGTTCGTCACCAAGGGCCAGACCGCCGACCAGTGCCTGAACGCCGTGGGAGCGCTGTCCAAGTCCGTCTACGACAGGGTCTTCAGGTGAGCCATATTTATAAAATACATAAATCGGCCTGCATTTCGCTTTTATTGAGGTTATAGCTTAAGGGAAGAGGTCAGGGACAAAAGTCTATGTTCATATATCGTTTACGATTGGAAAGGAATTGAGCCTTTTTTCTTTAAAATCTAATTACAAACAAACAAACAAACAAATGCCTTCACAAGCGCACACACCCGCACCACGCGCGCGCATAAATACACACACTGACACACATATGACGATTGTGCATAAAATAAATGCTGTCTATTCAACAATGTTTGTTGGCTTTGTGTGAAAGTCGTAGAATGGCTATGAATTTAAGCTATAAAGATTTCCATGACCTGCAGGTTCATCGTGCAGAAGTGTAACCAGACTCTGGAGACGGACAAAGAACGCGCCTACTTCATCGGTGTGCTGGACATCGCCGGCTTCGAGATCTTCGAGGTGAAACAAACAAACAAACATATATTTCAGTCGTAGGGAATTCACAGCATTAGAGAAGGATCACAGAATGACAGACAAAATTACTTTTAATATCGTTATGATTTTGGTGTTTTTTTAAGCAGAACGACGTGCATGCTTCATACCCTACATTGTCGTTGCCATACGTGGTTAAAATATTGTACCTTATGGCCCTTACCCTTTGTCACCATCTACAAATGCTCCATAGGTTACGGTAACTGGAGGTCACTGTTTCTTGAAAAATAGAAATTTTAGACACAAAGCAGGGCTTAAAGGAGGAATGCGTTAATGCCTACAAAAACACTCGATTCGTACGATTGCATTTTGACTTACAAAAGTGGGAAACGTTAAGATTACAAATCTGGGCGAAATACAATCATCATTTTACTTTGTTTGCAGCTGAACAGTTTCGAGCAGCTGTGCATCAACTACACCAACGAGAAGCTGCAGCAGTTCTTCAACCACCACATGTTCGTACAAGAGCAGGAAGAGTACAAGCAGGAGCAGATCGAGTGGGAGTTCGTCGATTTCGGCATGGACTTGCAGGCTTGCCTGGATCTCATCGAGAAGGTTCTTGTCTTTTCGTGACTGACTAATTTTTCTAGACGACAGGAGCTAGTCCTAAATCTCCTAATGGTCAGGAGCAATGTAGGCCTGACTTTCAATAGTCTGTAATTCGTCCCGTTGATACTGAGCTATGTTTAAACATCGCCCCAAACGTAACTGATCTTTAAAGTATTTTCATCACACTGTGGTTTACGAAAATCAACTCTTTAGACCCTAAGGCCTCCTAAGTATCGTGCTCAAGTATAGACACATGTAATGCTATATAATATAAACCATATAATATGTAGTGTTCGCCAAAAACAGTTACTCAAGCAACTGGATATGATTTTGGAAACGGTCAAAATCATACCCAGTTGCTTGAGTAACTTATTACCTGGATGTCTAACCTTCACCCATGTATAATATGTAATGTTATATTTTTTTAATTGTTCAGAAAATGGGCATCCTGTCCATGCTGGAAGAAGAGTGCGTCATGCCCAAGGCCAGCGACAAGACCTACCTGGACAAGATGAACGGCCAGCATCTCGGGAAGAACCCGAAGTACGGCAAGCCCAAGCCCAGCAAGAAGAAGTACGAGGCTCACTTCGAGCTGGGACACTACGCCGGGCCGGTGGGGTACAACGTGACAGGTACAACTTAAGAAATAAAGAGTAAGCTTTAACTTCCAACACTTAGACTAAAGAAATGGGTCTTGCCCCAAATTTTCGGTGCTCGACTCGGAACCCAGAGGTCCCGGGTTCGAGTCCTGACATGCCACCGATCTTGTGCCCTTGGGAAAGGCACTTTACATGACTTTCCTCACTTAACTCAAGTGAAAAAGAGTATTGTCCTGTCAGTATTTGTCCTCTGCGTTGGTGACGGCATAAAATAAGTTGATATAACTTAAGTGTGCCGTCACCATGTCCAGTCATGAAATGTTGGAATAAAAAAAAAATTGGTTGACTCCATCAACCTTGTCCACGGAATGGATCCGTCTACTCTTGGAACGCGACATCAGAGACACGTGACCGTACGTAGTAGCGGGCCATACGTGCCAGATAACTTGTGTCGCCCCCCGTCTCTGTTCAGGGTTGGTACACGTCATTATTTCTGTACCAACACGGATGAACTTTCATGCTAGGTACAACTTAAGATTTGACTGATGCAAATTCATTTTCTTCGTACTATGTGAAAAGTGATTCTAAAAAATGGTATATACGGTGAACCTTCTTGAAATACCCCTAGGTTTTATCGGTTGTCCCGCACATTCGTTGTACATAATTAATTACATATTGATGTGTTTTTTTAGTGCAAACTGACAATAAACAATAAATAATGAGTGAAAGTCCTTTATTGTACGCTTGTGCTCTAACAAGCTAAGTACAGCTCATGTATATACAGGGAAAAAGAGTACAGCAATATATTAAACTATACATACTAATGTGGTCTACTATTTACAGCTTCAACTTCTCGCTTCTTTAGGCAGTTAAAGATGTAAGAACATATTGGGCTAATGATACATTGTTTGTCAAGTTTCATAAGGAATGCGAATTTTTCTATTTTGTCTAAATGTCTAAAGCTTGGGAACTTATCTATTATAATAAACAGGTTGGCTGGAGAAGAACAAGGACCCTGTGAACGAGACTGCTGTGAAGGTGTTCAAGGCGTCCAAGAACGCGCTGCTGAGTGACATCTGGGCGGACTACCTGACTGCGGAGGAACAGGCTGGTAAGTGGACAGTGTATGGCCAGACCATGCTTTATCCAGAAACCGGTGCTTTATCCAGAACAGTGCTTTATCCAGAACTGTGTTTTATCCAGAACCGTGCTTTATCCGGAACCGTTTTTTATCCAGAACCGTGCTTTGTTCAGAACCGTGCTTTATCCAGAACCGTGCTTTATCCAGAACCGCGCTTTATCCAGAACCGTTTTTTATCCAGAACCGTGCTTTGTTCAGAACCATGCTTTATCCAGAACCGCGCTTTATCCAGAACCGCGCTTTATCCAGAGACATACTCTGACACGGCTCTGCATAGTCTGCGTGCGTGAATCAGGTACCTTGTCCGGGCAAATCTACGTTCTTAGATACACGGAGACTATCAAGAACCGTACCTCATCGAAAACCTTACCCAAGATACAGACGAAAAATACGACTAGTCGTATCGTACAACGGCTAGTACTCGTTTTTTTCCCACTTTTAATACTTGGCTTGACGAGAGATTTTTTTCATTTCCAGAGCAAAAGGGCGGCGGCAAGAAGAAGAAGGGAGGCTCCTTCATGACTGTGTCTGCTGTGCACAGGGTAAGGAACTTGTATGTTGCTGTCACACACGTCTTGCAGACGGTTTACGACAGTAAATATTGCGGATATTCGTAGGACGTTTCGTGCGTTTATCGCTCAGAATTCAGCAGCCTTGTGGCGAAAAGGTTATTGTAGAGCTTTGACGGTCGGTTGTCTTGAAAATTGTACGCCAAAAAAGGACGGGGAATTTGACTGTGGCTAAACATACGTAGATAAGGGACCCCAAAACTATGGTTTGTTGCTGGGAACATGCACATTTGATATTGGGACTCACATCAATACTCTCCCCACACGTTTGCTTCCTAGGAACAACTGGATCACCTGATGCACACCCTTCACGAGACCTACCCCCACTTTGTGCGCTGTATCATCCCCAACGAGGTGAAAACCGGCGGCATCATCGACGGCCCACTGGTCTACAACCAGCTGACGTGTAACGGCGTACTGGAGGGTATCCGTATCTGCCAGAAGGGATTTCCAAACAAGCAGATCTTCTCTGACTTGGTTGAGAGGTACATCGAATCATCGACGTTTCTTCACAAGCAGTTACAGTTAGCGTTTACTAAGTTTAAAGTGCGTCTGACTATTAGTAAAGTAAACCTCCAATTGACGTGTGCACCTTTTGAAGCAAGATATTTGTTTAGGGGATTCTTTTTATTCATTTATTTATCCATTTAGTATTTGTGGAAGGATAGACATAATAGGTGACTTTAACCTCTTCAGTAAAGTTTGAACCACTCACACCAGGAAGGTCCCCTACTCTTTTCTATATAAGTGTGGTGGGTTCTTTTAAATTGCGTGGGGAGTGTCTCCCCCAAACACGGGACCTCCATTTAACGTTTTTGAGATGACAACCTTTAAGCTTCCATAAACTCTCTCGTCATCCGAAGATACCGAATCCTGGCAGCATCAGTCTTTGCTGAAGGGACCTTCATTGAAGGAAAAGAGGCGTCCAGGCTGCTGCTGGAGGCTACAGGACTCCCGAAAACGTCCTACGGCATCGGTTTAACCAAAGTCTTTTTCAAGGTAACGTGAAGTTGGATGCTTTCACTCTATGGGTGATCATACAATTAAAATGATAGATTAATCTTTATCTTTATATAGCAGATACTTACTACCAATATATATGGGTTTTCTACATCGATTTTTCAACATTGAGGCATCCATGTATTTTTATTAAGAGTATATCTATCCCTATTTATTTTCCCTGATAGCTTATTAATGTCTATGCAAGGCAACACATCGTCGACTTTTCTTCATATTTCTTTCTGATTTATGTTTGTATTGTCCTTTTACCGTTATGTATTTGCATTTAATTGCCCATTGTTGGCAAAAAGCAATAAAGATTCACACTGAACGTTTTACTCCCATCTCTAGGCCGGAACGTTGGCCAAGCTGGAGGAGATGCGAGAGGATAAGATCAACGCCACCATAACCGGGATCCAGTCCGTCATCCGCGGCAGGAAGCAGAGGTTTATCTTCGAGAAGCTGTATGCAGGAAGGTACGCAGCGTTACCTGATACTGACCTTAAATGTACGTTTGTGCTCTAAAAAGCTAAGTACAGGTCATGAATAGACAGGAAAAAGAATACAACAGTGATACTTAAACTATACATACTAATGTGATCTTGTGAACAAGGCTGACGGAGTCGGTCGAAAATTTGGGTCTAAAATCCGTCGAAAATTTGGGTAAGTCCCAATTTACTTAGTGTAGGCTATAACGTTAGCTCTTTTGGTCATGATGATGCTGATGTTGTTGCTGTTAATGATGAAAATAATTTTCATAATGATGTGGATTATGATAATTGTGTTAATTGTGTTGCTGTTTTTTCCTGTTGATGATGATGATGGTCTCATACGTCTATCCTCTATCCATCCAGACAAGCGTGTGACATCATCCAGCGCAACATCCGGTCGTTCTTCAAGCTGCGTCACGACGGCTGGTACCGGATGTACGGAGCCATCAAACCGCAGCTCACCGGAGCCAAGGCTGAGGAGATGCTGGAGGTCAAGACCAAGGAACTGGAGGTCAGGGCATATTTGACTCAAATTTAACTCACATTCGATTCCAGAAGTATAGAAAGGTAGGTCAAGACCAGAGAACTGGAGGTCAGGGCATATTCAACTCAAATTTAACTAAGATTCGATTCCACAAGCATATAAAGGTAGTCATTTTACTATGATGTTTATGTTTACCGAAGGAAAACATATTGTTTTTGCTCAGTTTCCTCTTCTCCAAACAAAAAAAGGTCAATGACCTGAACCAGACAGTCTATCACCATGGTAGCTAGCTATAGTGTTCGGTTACATCATGTTGCAGTTTTATAGCAGGAGGGATTTAGACTCCTGTCACCATACATATGAATGTGTCTGAGTAAGAATTAACAGAGCACACCGTATGGTAGGTGTCTGGCTAATGGATACTGACTGGCCAATTTGATACTCATTATAGTAAACTAAGGTTTACCGTTGCGAATAGGAAGCAGCGAAGGCTCTGACGACCAAGCGGAAGCAGAGGGAGGATCTGGAGAAGCAGATTAACGACATCCTTGCTGAAAAGGAAGACATTCAGAACCTGCTTTCTTCGGTAAGATTTACATTAGTTAGGTATTTACGAATATGTAATATTCTGTGTATCAGATTACTAGCAGTTTTACTTGTAGTTTTCTTCCTTCAGCTCAAGTTTTATGATAATAATTCAGAAAGGGGCGACCAGATAAAGTAAAGTAACACAGACTAAGATTTTTATTTCGTCGCCGTCCTAACAGGAAGGCTCGGTAGTCCGCGAGGCGGCTGAAGAGCGCGTCCGCATCCTGGCCAAGGAGTTTAACGAACTGCAGAGCGAGCATAAGGAGCTGGAGGAGCACTGGGAAGACATCAGCGAGAGCAGCAAGACTCTGCAGATCGGCAAGGACAGGGCGCAGGCCGAGGTCGACAAGATGAAGGTAAGGCACTATCAGAGAATAGACTTCAGTTTTCCAACTTAGATATTCTTATATAAATAGCCAGCTTCAACAGTTAGCGATCTCAAAGGAGGAAACGGCTAGCTTTGTCATTCGCTAGAAACGTGGCCGTCTTCTTTGACACTTAAGAGAAGCATGCTAGGCTTCAGGACGTCGAGTGTCTTGCTGTCATACATGCACATGGGCATGTTGAAACACCTCGAGATAATCAACTGAACTAAAGCCGTTTCGATGGCAGTTCAGCTGAAAATGAACTCTTCATTAAAAAAAGAGAACACTTGGCAAAACTTGTGAAAATGATAGTCGCAACATGTTTCTTCCCTATCATAAAAGTTTATCCGTATTGGTGGTTACATGTTAGAGTTAAAACTTTAGATACAACACAAAGTTCTCTCACCAGTGCTCTCGACCAGTCACTCTGGTCTTCTCCAGTAGACTGACCCAGTGAGGCTTACCACGTGGGTTCTTTGAAGTGTGACGTCAACACTGGGTCAAAGGTAGATGATGTAGGCCCCCTGTCGCGGTTGAGTGAAGAGTGATGGGCCCTTGTTGTTTTTTCTCTCGTTGAACAGAAAAAGATCGAGGACCTGGAGCAGAAGCTGTCCGAGCACGAGAAGAGCAAACAGGGCGAGGAGGAAGCCCTGAGAGAAAAGGAGGACGTGGTCGCCAGCAACCAGGACAAGATCGCACACCTGCTCAAGGAGAAGAAGCGGCTGGAAGAGCTGAACGCAGTGAGTAGAAACAACCATATTTTCCAGTATAATGAAAGAATCTTTATACAGTTCACAGTTTTAGTAAGAAAATCAGCCTCACACTATGAGGCAGAACATCAACTTACATACAAACAAAGACAGGAAAGGCAAAGCTATACAAAATGCCTAACTATGGTCGCAAAGTAAACAAGAACATCCTAGAACAGTCTTGCAGTCTTACGGATCTTTATAATGATCCTACCCAAATGGCTGAATGCACATGTGACCATATGTGGTCTAGAGGGTCTAAAACATGGAGTATAGAGTAGAGCACAAAAATACTACATTCTAACGCTCAATACAAAAAAAAACTATGTATTATAACAACACTGAGTTCATCTACGTCTATATACTGTTAACCGTTGTTTCATCTTTCTTTTCGAAACACATGGAATAGTATTCAAGGAAACATTATACAAATAATATCTAAAGATACACAACGAAAGACTCTCTATCCTACAAACATTTTTTGCCCAGCTTGTACGATAGTTTTAATCCGTTAATCATTGGTTACATGCTTTACTCACATGTTCTGTCCCCCGTAGCAAACCCTTGACGACCTTGCCGCTGAAGAGGAGAAAGCCGCGCAGTTGTCCAAGCTGAAGATCCGGCTTGAGCAGACCCTGGACGACGTAGGTCCACATTTCAGTGTGTACGTGTGTGTGTTTGTGTTTGTGTGTATCTATGTGTGAGCGAGCGTGTGTGTGTGTGTGTGTGCATGTGTGTGTGTATGTGTGTGTGGGTGTGTGTGTGTGTGGGTGTATGTATGCATTTGTGTGTATCTGTGTGTGAGCGAGCGTGTGTGTGTGTGTGTGTGTATGTATGTCTGTGTGTGTGCATGCATGAGTGTGTGTGTGTGTGAGTGTATGTATGTATTTGTGTGTATCTATGTGTGAGCGAGCGTGTGCGTGTGTGTGTGTGTGTGTGTGTGTGTGTGTGTATGGAGTGAAGGTTATGTCTATAATGCTCTTGCTTTGACTAAGCTGTGCCGTAGACGAATAATGAAACCACACTTTCCAAATTCCACAATTGGTCATGAATCATGAAGGCCATTGAAATGTTTGTTTATCTCGAACATGCCGAATGACAAAGGCTTACATCAATGGTCTGCCCTAATCTCCCAGCAGATCTTTTAAGAGTTGTTGAAAGTATGTAGTATCTTTTTACAACAATTACTCCTGCATGGTTTTGATGGTTCAAATAACCGGAATAAACGACCGCTTTTCTGCTGTTCCCCAGCTTGAGGACGACCTTACGCACGAGCGGCGAATCGTGACGGAGGTGGAGAAGGTCAAAATGCGCGTGTCGAACGACCTGCAAAGGATCATGGACTCGATCACGGAGACCGAGAACCTCAAGATGGAGCTGGAGGAGAGGTTCAAGAAGTAGGAATTTTTTCTTACTGTTCTTAGTGACAGTTATGCAGTCAACTAGATCTTGGCACGTTGTTAACACGTACGGCAATCGTAAGGCCGGGCCCTAACATTGGCACCAGAAATTCCAAGTATGGACCTTCAGGTGAGAATAGTTGCGAGGCTGGTAGGTGTCGCTCCACTGTATACATGTACAATTGTCAGGGCGGTGTAAAGTGCCTTTTCCAAGGGAAAAAATCAGGGCACGTCAGAGGACCGAAATCGGACCCTCTTGGTCATGAGCCAGCTCTCTGACCATCACGCCATGCGATGCCACATAGTAGATCTGTAATTATCCCGGTTTGCAATATTCTCATCCGTCAGTTGTGCAATGGAAATCGTATTTCTTCAGAACTTTCTAACCTTTACTTGCCCCAATTCTGTCCTGCAGGAAGGAGTTTGAGCTGAATGCAGCTCACTCCGCCAGTGACGACGAGGCCGGCCAGGCTGCCGTGCTGTCGAAGAAGTTTAAGGAGATGCAGAGGGTAATCAGCGAACTCGGGGACGACATGGAAGTGGAGAGATCAGCACGAGTCAAGGTATTGTAAAAAAGAAAAGAAAGAAAGTCCCTTATGCAGAGCGTAGGGTGGTGCCCATATCCATTTCGTAGCCCTTGGGCGACCTACATTTGTGCAATGCACTACAGCAGGGGGCTGGTCCGCTGGTAGTGCTGTGTGTTTGACCTTCCTACACTCTTTCTCATATGTGCTGAGTGCTAAGCAGAGAAAGAAGTGTGTACCATTTTTAAAGTCTTTGGTACGACCCGGCCGGGGTTTGAACTCACGACCTCCCGGTTACAAAGCGAGCACTTTACCAATTGTGCTATGCACCGGTATTGTAAACGCATAGAAAATAGTTCTGCTCTGACAGCAAAAGCGCCACCTACATTGGCTACATATATCGGCAGGAAGCAGCACTCGAGTCAAGCTCTATGGAAGATGTTTAAATGTGGTGTTTAGATGTTTGCATGTGAAGAAACAAACACCCAATATCCTAAGCTTAATGAACTTTGGTTTGCAAGGGTATGCAATACTTACTGATGCACTCCACGCGTTCATTGCCCAATCAAAAAGATTCTGTGCTTCTTCCAGCTGAGCCACACCAAACAATTAATTGCTGTACAGTTATAAAATCGATTGTTGAAATTGCAGGTGCGATTTATTAGATAATGTTATTTGTGTATATAACTTTATGATTTATTAGATAATGTTATTTGTGTATATGTCCAGGTATGTGTTAGGTGTGCACGCTATCTTGCTGCCTAATGCACACTTTGTATTGTCATGTTACAATTCTGAATAAACGAAATAAATAAAAAAAATATTTAATGCCTATTTCATGTACCTGCCTGCAGTCGGAGCGTTCCCGTGCGGACCTGCAGCGCGAGCTGGATGATGTGGAGGGCAAACTGGAGGAGACTTCCGGTCTGTCCGCGAACGAGGCCGACAAGAACAAGCGCCGCGAACAGGACCTCATGAAGGTGACTGTCTACCGAAGTTTTTAAAAGAAAAAGTACATAGAGAAAGTGATGATGCATTCAACTTATTTTGACGCCACCATTTGACATAAAATAAAAGGCACGTGAACACACTGATATTACCACATGTTATAGACACATGTTTCAAACAGCATAAAATAGGGAGGCGTCTCCGTATGTTATGCTTTGAAAGTTGTTCGGTTATTTAGCAGGACAATATCTGCAATTTCGTGTCCGGACAGAGGATGATAATGGTAGAATTAATGGCCCATGTAACTCAATTAATTCATCGCTCAATTAACTTATGCCGTGGTAAGTACTATTCGATCTAGTTCGGAATGCAAAACTGTGCACAATGTTAACTGGATGGTTCTGTCATCAGATCCGGAGGGACCTGGAGGAGTCTCTGGCGTCTCAGGACGCTGAAGTGTCTGACCAGCTGGACGATCTGATAATACGTCTTTATTTGTACGACGAACAGTTATGAAGTCTTGTATCAACTCTATTGTTTTCCCAGATCCGGAGAGACCTGGAGGAGTCTCTGGCGTCTCAGGACGCTGAGGTGTCCCTCCTGAGGAAGAAGCACGCGGACGTGCTGGCCGAGATGTCTGACACGCTGGACGATCTGCAGAAGGGGAAGAACAAGGCGGAGAAGGACCGGGACTCGCTCAGGAGGGAGGCGGAGGATCTCATGATCACGTTCGAGGCGCTGTCCAAGCAAAAGGTACGTGTCTTTACGTTAGGACTTGTAACAATGTTTTGTTTTTGCTACAACAGAAATTTTTGTAACGGAGTTTTGAACCCTATTCCAAGAGACATTGTCGAAGGAAAAGATGCTCATATGAGTCATTTGTTTTGTACTAGGATGGAATTTTTTGTCAAGAGATCAAACTCACTGAACTAAGTTCGGGTTACCAGAACAGCGTATGCCCATGCTTAGAAAGTAAATGGAAAATCCTTTAGATATCAGATATAGAATACTTTGCAAATATATTCTATATGCTATATAGAGCCCGAACGCTGATATATGATATTTTTTGCATGCATGACGTATATTCTGATTCTTGTACGTTACATCAGGTCTACACGTTTTAATCGTACATCAACGATCCCTTTCTGTTTACAGTACCAACTGGAGAAGGCGAACAAGCACCTGGAGTCGACGTTTATCAGCGTGACGGTGAAGATCGAGGAGCACACGCACATCATCTCCGAGCTGCAGTCGCTCAAGACGCGTCTGACGGCCGAGAACTCCGAGCTCACCCGCCGCCTGGAGGAGTCCGAGTCCAACTACAACGCGCTCAAACGCGGAGAGGCCATCCTCAAATCACAGGTACGTTTCAGTTGTTATTACAACGTTCAGTAATAATCGGGTAGACTCTAGACACACCCCACATATACAGTTTATTTATGCCGTCTGACGGCCGAGAACTCCGAGCTCACGCGCCGCCTGGAGGAGTCAGAGTCCAGCTACAACGCGCTCAAACGCGGAGAGGCCATCCTTAAATCACAGGTACTAATAATCAGTTGTTGTTACAACGTTCAGTCATAATCGGGTAGACTCTAGACACACTCCAAATATACAGTTTATTTATGCCGTCTGACGGCCGAGAACTCCGAGCTGACACGACGCCTGGAGGAGTCAGAGTCCAACTACAACGCGCTCAAACGCGGGGAGGCCATCCTTAAATCACAGGTACGTTTCAGTTGTTGTCACAATGTTCAGTAATAATCGGGTAGACTCTAGACACACTCAAAATATAAGCACACAACTGAACAATGCATGTGATATATCAAGCCCAGGGTTCATTATTGAAAGGTACTAAATTGTGGGACCTGTGACAAGCCCAGCAGGAGCAGAGCTACTTACCGTCAGGTCCACAAACTGTGAACTAAACGTCCACCAGGATGAAAAGGACTATGATGAACTACGTCTTGAAGAAGCTGGATCGGTAAATGTGATTCACACTAGTTGTGCAGGCCGAGCTGCAGCGCTTCCAGTGTTAACTGTTCTACTACTAGTCTACTACTAGTCTACTAAGCTTTAGTAACTCACGTTTCCCTGCAGGTTGAGGAAGCTAAGCGTGCCCTGGACGAGGAAATCAAGGCCAAGAACAACACCATGGCCCAGCTGCGCAGCGTGCAGGCAGAGCTGCAGCGCTTCCAGGAAACTATTGAAGAGGAGCAGGAAGTTCGCGCCAACGCGCAGAGGGATCTCTCCAAGGTCAACGCCGAGGTTCTCATGTGGAAGAACAAGTACGAGAGCGAGGTTTCCGGCAAAATGGAGGAGTCCGAGGATGTGAGTGTGAATTCTAATAATCATGAATTATTTTGTATCTTATCTAATTGTGTTTTTTCATCATTCACTCGTATTTGTGTTACGGTTACTATAAGTTAAATGGGGAGGGCATCCCATAAGAATGTCGAATTCTTCTCTCCTGCACTTTTTGTTCATGGATGACATTAGTAAAACGGTAGGTCAAGGTAGTCCCATAGCCATTTTGAGACCGGAGGGTCAGTGGGTTTGTGTCCATCTCAGATAGAAATGCGTCTCTAGCTTCGATTAGGGACGTCCCTCGGAAGGGCCCCGGTGTACGATAGACTAAATACTACTATCTGAAAGTGGGTGATTCACTCCAGGAAGAATAGTGTGGAATACACCGTTGGGCATCCCTATTAAACAAACAAAACCAACTATTATAAAATAATCGTATTTTCCCTCAGATCAAGCGGAAGATGGCCCTGCGTCTGGCTGAGGCAGAGGAGGCGCTGGACGCCGCTAACGCGAGATGCCTGAGCCTGGACAAGACCCGCATGCGCCTGGCTGCAGAAGTGGAGGACTTCCATGTACGTAATCTGTGAAACTTCTTACTTAGGCAATGCAGTAATGCATACACTCTTTATTTATGTAAGTTTTATTGTACAGAAAATATAAATGGACAAGGGAAAATAAGATTTCCCGTGTGTATCCCATTCCAAATCAAAACTACATCAGAAGATAACTACAATGAGCAAGGCATAGTGAAGTCCACGGAACGAATTTGGCGATGGTAAATAGAGGCCTGTATCTCAGATCGCCGTGAACGAGCTAATACGGTCAGTGCTGACCACGGTTTAACCCAAGTTAGAACTTTATCTACTTCGGTAGATCGCTAGATCGGTTTCGGTATTGATAAATGACAATATCTGCACTCAGTCTGAATAAGTTGCTATTTATGGATTTAAACTATTATCGTACCTAGAAACGTGTCTATCTTGTCCGATGCCTGAATAGGTTAGGGATCAGGCATAGATTTGCAACAGGCAACCAGAATCATACTTTAGCGTGTTTATGGATGAAGAACGATTCTAGATACGAGAACTACTATGTAACCATGTGCTTTATTATCTCTCCCCTGCAGATTGAGGTTGAGAAGGCGAACACTCTGGCCTCCCAGCTGGAGAAGAAGCAGACGCTGGTGGACCGGCAGATCGTGGAGTGGAAGACCAAGTGTGACGAGCTCACCATCACTCTGGAGAGGTCACAGGTCTGTATAAATAACTATCGTCACCGTGCCTATGATGAACTTTACCTATTTCGCATACTAAATCAGACCTGGCTCGATCTGTAGTCATCAGCATCTTTCTGCTGAGAGCAAAAACTCTGATCCGCAATGTACGCAATTCTACCTTTAAACTCACCTTAAAGAATGAGTAAAGGTACACGCAAAGGAAGAAACGGAATGTTTACGCATGCTTTATGATTTGAAAATTTTACGCACACCTTACGTGCCGGTTTTTGTAATTCGGTGATATGTGTATCACTTTTACCAGTTTTTCTCCAAACATGGCTCACACTTGCTTAACATGTAACATTGTGTGTTGATGAGCAAAATCCAGTTATTTAAAAGAATCATAAAATAGTACGTTATAGAAAGATTAGAAAGTTTATTGCCCGTAGGCTAATTGCAAGTACATGTAACATGGAAATAAAAGATGGACAACAGGGTGGATAACAATATAGTATGCAACTACTAGACACTAGATTCTAACTTATTCTAACTTGTTGTAATCCCCAGGTTGAGAGCCGAACGCACCAGGCTGAGATGCTGAAGCTCAGGTCTATGATCGAGGAGATTAGCGAGGCCATAGAGATGCAGAGGAAGGAGTCCAGGATTCTGCACCGTACGTGAATCACTTCTCTCATTAAGCTTACAGTTTGGTACTCCATATAGCAGTGATAACAGATAGTGGAGCTTGTTGGGTGCAAAAACATAGTAGTTTTTCCTACAATGCTAAATATACTTAAACAAATAGCCCGTATACAATACTTCAGTAAGGTTTACATACCGTACCATACCTGGCCTGTGCATATAGGCAGGGTAGGACATACCGTACAGAATTTGCTACGACTGCAAAACCTCTCCTCATACACTCTCAAGTAGTATATTTACTTCAGTTTCTTTAGCATTCATTATAGACTGACGTTGTCCCTCTAGACCCTGACCCTTTGTCATGACTTCGACTTAATTTGACGTTATTAGGATCCACAATTCAGCTAGTCTTCCTTCAGTACAAAATAACAACTGTCACATAATAACGCAGGGTAATAAATAACACAGACTTGAGATTCATGCAACAACTGTTTGATACAAGTTTATTGTATTATTAAACATTTCTGATATTTAATTTTGAAATTACGTATTCGTTTCTTTTCTGTCTCCAGAGGATTGTTCCGACCTGCAGGACCAGTTGTCCGGCAGCGGGCGGGCGGTGGCGGAGACGGAGAAGGCCAAGCGGCGTCTGGAGGTGGAGCTGGAGGATCTGCGCAGCGCGCTGGACGAGGCAGAGGGCGCGCTGGAGATCGAGCAAGGAAAGGTGGGAAAGATTGCGTCATTTCAAGGGCCATAAAATGCATTTACCTTGTGTAACACTAATAGTACGATAGATACGGGCCAGTTTTGTCTGACCGTTATCTTCTGCAACGCACTGGAGGGCGCTCGATCAAGCAAGGAAATGTATCACTATCTAAGACCTTGTCATACTGAATGCCACATATGGCCTCCCAAACACTGCCAAGCACCCTCCTACCCTGGTTAGGAGTAGGTCGGGAGCACTTAATATCCTTGACCTCCAACCAAGCAAGGTTGGCTAAAGGTCGGATGCAGTCTGACCAGATTTAGGCCACGCCTACCCTTCTATACGAACCTAATCGAATTTAAGCAAAATGTGAGTCACATTTCAACCTCAAAGACTGATGACCTACTACCGAACACCAGCCAACAATCACCGAACCTCCAGGCCACACCGAATGTTTTAAAAAGTAGCCGACCTCTAGCTGACACCAGACAACCACAGCCAAACTTGCAATTTTGCGTTTGCTGCCTTTTGTGACACTCATTGTGCATTGTCATTTTGTGATGATATGTTTGTAATTAAAGATCTAGTGCACGTGTTGTCCTATTACAGGTTGTAAGAATCCAACTGGAGCTGACTCAACTGAAGTCGGACATCGACCGGCGCCTGGCCGAGAAGGAAGAGGAGTTCGAGTCAACCATGTGAGTACCACATTGTCTTTGTACATTTAGGACGGTAAATTGTATAGGAGGAATGTTTAAGCATAGAACTGAACATGACTTGCTTTTTTGCATATCGTAACAAGAGCATCCGAAATGAAAGGCCTGTAGGCTGACATTGTGATATATTCGAGATGCTATGCTACAGAGCCATCACTTTACAACTTTATTGTATAGATTACGTACTAGTATATAATACACTGTACAAGTATGGAAGGCACTGATACTTATTGTGGTAACATTCTACATTCAGAGCTGGTCCCCGTAGATTACATGTGGCTGCACCTACGCTGCTGGTTTGTAACTCATAACACGTATTATTTTGTGTACAGCAAAATGCACCACCGCACGATCGAGCAGATGAACGAGCAGGTTGACGTGGAGTCGCGGGGCCGCGCGGAGGCACTGCGGCAGAACAACGTCCTGAGCGGGCAGCTGGGCGAGCTGGAGATTAACCTGGAGGGCGCCACACGGGCAAACAACGACGCCAAGAAACTGCTGAGCAGACTGCACACACAACTGCAGGAGCTTCAGGTATATTCGCAACTGACCATCAACTGATTTTGCTAGCACCATCTTTCTGCAACACAACACCTCTCTCCCCAAAATTGGAGGAACTCAGGTGGTATATGCTTGGACATATCCTCAGAATGCCACAAGACACACCTGCACAGAAAAGCCCTGAAATTCTCATTCCTAAGGGAGACATGAAGCGCAGAGGGCTAGGCCCTCCCACAACAAGAAAGAAACTCAGATAGCTCGCGAAAAGAAGACACAGTGGTTAAGAAATGAAGAAAGACTAAATACATCTGCATGACGTCTTCTTACGACTGCAAATGCTGAATATAGTGGATGATGATGATGATCTTTGTTTTCTTGACCTTTGCAGATGACCCTAGACGAAACTATCCGCATGCGCGGTGACATGCGTGACCAGGTGGGACTGAAGGACCGGTACTGCAGCACGATCCAGACGGAGATCGAGGAGGTCCGCAGGCAGCTGGAGGACACCGACCGCGCCAGGAAGGTGACAGGAACAACATTTTTTTCACTTAGGAGCACTGTGCGCTCAAAGTCTAGGCGTACCACCAAAAAGATAGTTCTATAGACGTAAATTCACAACGTTGCACTAATATATAATTTCTATGTAGAAACGCGCGCATTGGTTGTCACAGGTTGAGGATAAGAAATTATATAGAATTAAGCAATGCTATTTGTCTCAAACCTCGATTCAGCCAGCTAAGGCTCCAATGGTATGTGTGTGCAAATCCCGGCCAGTCATCTTCATCATCATCTTCAGGACCAAATTTATACCCAATATTTAGTAAAAATCTGCCACATAGATTACGCCAACTCAATGCACACTCCTATGTTTAATTTTCACCTCCAGTTTTTTAACAATTAGCCAGACTAGCAAGGAATAGGAGACTGTGGGATGCTAGACTGACTAGGATAAAGTGACTATATTTTAAGGCATGTAGCAAAAGGCATTGTAGGTTTGCTGATATACACCCCCCCCCCGCAGCTTGCTGACGCCAGCCTGTCGGAGTCTCACGACCGCGTGAGCGAACTGACCACGCAGACCTCCGGCCTGGTCACCCAGAGGCGCAAGCTGGAGGGAGACCTGGACACGCTCAGGGCCGAGCTGGAGGAGCTCATCAACGAGCATCGCCAGACAGAGGAGAAGGCCAAGAGGGCCATCAGCGATGTACGTTATTCACTAATTGTATATTTTTTGTTCTTTTGTTGGTAAGCTATTGTGTGTATGTTATGCATATGTTACAACTGTCACTAAGACTCCAGGAAGAGTAGTAAAGACAGTACCAGAGACAAAGATGGCCTAATTTATTTTACCTTTTTTTATTCACGAAAAAGAGGGAATGGTGTGATTTTCAAACGGTTCTTGGGTTGCTTCTGGAACGTTCTGTATTGCCCTTATCGTAAAATGGGGTCTCTATCCTAGAACACAAGCTCAAAGAGCTGCCACAGTTTTGGGTGGTGGATCCATGGAGCCGGCAAAAAAAGCGATGTTTAGTACCGATGCAGTACCAGAGAGTGGCTACAAAAGTGCCACTTTGTTACATACTAAAAGAATGTGCCCCTGTCTTCTCCAGGCTGGTCGCATGGCCGAAGAACTGCGCACGGAGCAGGATCAGAACCAGCACATGCTGAAGGTCAAGCATAACCTTGAACTGACCTTCAAGGACCTCCAGCAGCAGCTTGAGGAGGCGGAGGCGTCCGCCTTGAAGGGCGGGAAACGCGCCTTGGCGAAGGTGGAGGAAAGGGTAAGGAACACTTTTTAACCGTTTTGATTCCTGCAATAGTTGAAAAGGGTTAAGAGGTACTTTTAGTACTTTCTTGACAGTTTCCTGCAATAGTGTGAAAGGGCAAGAATTGTACTCTACCTAGGCCTTCTTCACCGTTTCTATTCCCGCAATAATTGAAAAGGGTAAGGGGCACTTTACCTTCTTTACCGTTTCGATTCCTGACTACCCAGGTGTCTTTGAAGATTAAATAAATACTTGGACAAGGTAAATGGCCTTTAAGTTAATCTTGCCTTTTTAACCGTTCCTATTCCTGCAAGTAATGGAAAGTTGGTACCTCGAATGATTAAATACTATGGGATAGGCTTGTGCTTTTCTTTGAGAAGGTCCTCGGAGCAAACATTTTTCTTTCAAAATGGAAGCAAATTTCCCGCCAGTAGATAATGAGGTATTCTTTCTGTATATTTGATTTGATTTGATTTGATGCAGTCTGCTTTATGAAAACTAAAACTGGCGCGGGCCAACCAGTCGAAGCCCAATGGTATTGTAAAAGGCTGGCTTTGGCAGTACTTCGTTTCTGTACCTTTCATTAGCCTCCGTAGCAGGCTTATAGAACTGGGAGTTTGGTGGTCTTCGGCTGTTTTCTGATTAGCATCCGTAGCAGGCTTATAGAACTGGGAGTTTGGTGGTCTTCGGCTGTTTTCTGATTAGCCTCCGTAGCAGGCTTATAGAACTGGGGTTTGGTGGTCTTCGGCTGTTTTCTGATTAGCCCAGTTCTAAAAAAAGGGGGGTAATTCAACCAGGCCAGCTATGTTGTCTATAAGCAATCAGAAAATAGCACAAAAAAGCTCCCAAAGACCCTGAAGACCCCCAAAACCCCAGTTTTTGGCATGCTATGGAGGCTAACGTTTCACGTCGTTCATATATATATTTACACATCATCTCTTTTGGCAGATCCGGGAACTTGAGCTGCAGCTGTCAATCATCCAGAAGCAGCACCAAGATGACGTCAAGGCTCTGCGGAAGAACGACCGCTCCTTGAAGGAGTTCGCCGCACAGGTGAGAAAATGACTTACCTTTATTTATTAAGAAATTGTAACATCACAATGCAAAGTGTGCACTAGCCAGCAAGTATTCCGATAGCGTGCACACCTAACACGCACACCACATATGACATAGAAGCAACAATAAACAGTTAAAGCGAGATATATACAGAAGTAACATTATGTAATTTTTCCCTAGCCTCATCTGTATTGTATTTGTTTTAGCGTTCTAAGAATAAAAGTATACTTAGCTATCCCGTGTATTACATGGCGAAGACGTCAACATCAAGACCTTTACATAGGAAAGCCAAATAAACATGTTCGTACTTATAAACCTGCTTTTCTGACAACTGTTCAGTGTTATTGACGAAAGGTAGTGGATGCTACCTGAAACGTCTGACTGTTTCCATAATCATATCCAGTTGCTTGCGTATCTTATTACCTGGATGTCTAACCTTCACCTATGTATTCTCTGGTTTAATTTGTGTAGAAATAGAACAAATTATAGCCTAGTAAAGTGTGTCCATAAACAACAGTACACGTTATAAGTGTATGATTTACTTGCTTACGGCAAATAAAATACTATGTAAAAATTTCAGGACGACGAGAACAAGAAGAACCAGATCCGCCTGCAGGACCTGATCGAGAAGCTTCAGAGCAAGATCAAGACCTACAAGCGCCAGGTCGAGGAGGCGGTAAGTACAAAAAAAAACATGATTGAAAACAAAATGTTCTGCAAGGCTGCAGTTTGGGAATCAGCTGTGTTTAAAGACGTCCTGTTCAAAAAAAATCTTCTAACTTTTTGTATGTAGAGGTAAATAGATGTTTGTGTTTGTACCTGTGCATCAATTTTGTATTGGGGGGGGGGGGGGTAGTCAGTGTGTGCAAAGCAGGCATTCAACAAATATAATGTTTAGCAAAGAAATAAACATTCCAACAAAACAAAAAAGTCCATGCTGCAGCCTTAAGGCTCAAATGACCAACCTCTTTAACCACACGTACAGGAAGTTCCAGGAAGGTTCTAAACGTATCACATTTCTACACTTTCCAGGAAAGCAGCGCGGGACAGAGCCTTTCCAAGTACCGTCACGCCCAGCACGACTTGGAGGACGCTGTTGAGCGCATGGAGATGGCCGAGGCGTCCCTGAACAAGATGCGGACCCGCACCGAGACCCACGTCGTCACCCGGCGCCACGTCGGCTCCGGGGCTCGCTCCTCCGCGCCGGCGGCCCACTTCAGCGGCGGCCACTCCGCGCACTTCAGGTGGGTTGCTACGAATCTCATGGGGTCGTGTGGCGTAGCGGCAGAGTGCTCGACTCGGAACCAAGAGGTCCCGGGTTCGAGTCCTGACATGCCACCGATCTTGTGCCATTGAGAAAGGCACTTTACACGACTTTCATCACTTCGCTCAGGTGAAAATGGGTATTGTATTGTCCCCTGTGTTGGTGGCGGCATAAATATAAGTTAACAAACCTTGAGTATGCCGTCACCACGTCTTGTCATTGCATGTTGGAATATAAAAAGAATCGCTGGCAAAAAGCATGGAACGAGTCCAAAGACGCGCACTTCGTATCATTTCATACGGAGGAGAAGAAGAAACTGAGCCAAAACAATACGTTTTCCTTCGGTAAACATAATAATAACTTTTCGTTCCTTACTACAGCGTTGGCGGCGGGGGCTCCAGCACGACCCACCACACGACCCGGCACGTGTACGGCAGCGGTGACGAGGGAGCCGGCGGCACTACCGTGATCAGGCGCACCGTCACCAAACGCACCACTCGCCGCGTCGTCACAAGCAGTGACGAGGACTAAGGTAAGGTGCGTACTTCCGTGAAGGTTAGACATACAGGTAGTAAGATACGCCAGAAAATAGTTACTCAAACAACTGGATATGATTTTGGAAAAGCTGAGCTAGCCTCTACTTGGCTTCTAGCTAGGGCGTCTCATTAGCCTCTACCAGGCATCAGGAATAGAGTAGAAATTGGTCAAATAGAGAGATAACATGCTGGGGGAGTTGATCCGCTAGAGAGCAGTTTGCCGCACCACTAGCAGCGACGAGGACTAACTAAAGGTAAGTCAGAATCCGTTACATTGTATTAGGTGTACATGTGTTTTTCCTGTGTGTGTGGGCACGTGTACGGCAGCGGTGACGAGGGAGCCGGCGGGACCACCGTGATCAGGCGCACCGTCACCAAACGCACCACTCGCCGCGTCGTCACCACCAGCAGCGACGAGGACTAAGGTAGCGCAAACCAGGCTTCTAGTAATCTCCAAGCAGATTCTAGGGTGGCTTATGGACCTCTCTTGGGCGAATGAATACTGCCTGGCCACTTCGATACTGTCTTTTTGCCACCAAAAAATCTGCTTAGAGATTAGGCTTCTATGGCGTTTCATCACCAAGCTGATTTTTAGGACGAGGATGAAGGTGAGGTAGCCTCTACATAGCTAGTCTCTCACCAGCCTCATTTACAGGCTAAATAAATAGTAGAAATCGGCCTAAAAGAATGTAGCTGGCCAGGGGAGTTGGCCGGTCCTAGAGGGTCCAGTTCTATACAGGCAAACTCCCCTGGTCAGCTACATTCATTTCAGGCCGATTTCTACTATTAATTCAGCCTGCAAAGGAGGCTGGTGGAGAATAACATCTACCAGGCGTCTAGGGCGTTTTATCACTAAGCTGATTTTGTAGCGAGACTGGTTGGTTATAGACAAATTTGAAGATGAATGCCATTTCTTAGTGGTATATCCTTGCTATAACGAAGAAAGGAAAATGATGCCATGCTTCTATCACGTCCCGACTCTGTATCTGTTTATCTAGTTAATATCTAAATATCTGTTTATCTAATGCCATGGATTTTGTTTGTTTGTGTGTTTTCTGTATGCAGTGACGTGCCACCGACCCTTGAAGAAAACTCTCCGATAAAAAAAGATGGATTGATCAACTGGACTCCTCCTTATCTACTCCGCTTGAAATGCTTGCTTGTGTGTTAGTAAACGACGCTTTGACAGTAGCTGGTACGTTGCAGCAGAAATAAAATGAACGGTGACGTTCACATCTTGTTTTGCGTGATGATTCTGTGGTAAGATTAGATGTACAACAGATCCTAATGTTATCATGGAAGTTCACCTGTGTTGGTAGTTACATGTTACATGAGTTAAATATTTAGGGTCCAACACAAAAAACGTTCTCGTGTGACGTCTACCAGATACCTTTGGCCCAGTGTTGACGTTACACTTCATGGAAGTTACACTTCCGGCACTTTTTGCGTTGGACCTAAAGTTTTAACTCTAAACAGATCATAATGCTGAAAATAATTTCATCAGGTTGGTAGAACACAGGATACGTATATAAGGTTTTCTTATACACAACCACGTAGTTTTCCTACCTTGCTTACAGATAGACATTGAAATGTTTTGTATGAGAAAATCCCAGTATCCTAGCTCTAAATTCTATATATGCCATTGGAAAAGGCACGTAACACCTATTCAATCACTCCAATCAGTGAAAATTAGTACCTAGCTTCAATTAGGAAATCAGATAATCCTGAAATAAGGACGTGAACCATTTAACCCTCAAACCACCGTATGGGGTCAAAACAGACCTCAGGTGTATATAAATATGTGACATTTTGACATTTCTTGTCGAAAACGAAATTCCTTCTATGAGTTTGTTTGTATACATGTCTTTTAACTTTTTCACTTGTTTTTACTGAGATTGTAACATTGTTGATTGAGTTATCCTAGAAAGTTTACCCCAAGCACATTTAAGATCCCTCCGCACTTGTCAAAAAGAGTAGGTGTCCTTCACCGTGTGAGTGGTTCAAACCTTACAGTCCGGTCTTACGCAGTTTGCACACATTATCTGTGTGTTACGCCTTGAGTCGGTTTGCCGCTTACCCGAATGCGGTTAAAAGAACGTTACAAAACGAGGCAATAATTGAGAAAAATTGCAATATGTGATGAGTTATCCAGTTACAGCCTCGGGATAGTAACGCTTTTCTGAAGGGAATTATCAAGGAGGATTATGAATAGGAGGCTTAATTGTAGTAATATTCAAAAACCATCACACGGCCATTGACCAGCAGGCAGGCACTCACGAACACATAAAGAGTTAGAGATGTACATAGAAATAGACAGAGGAGTATAGATGGATACTGCTAGACTGTTTTTCACACACAGAATTCGAACAACTGAACCAGCCGTATGTACACACATTGAATCTATTGACACGTTGAACTACAAGATGAAAAAAAGTGGCCCTTGCTGCTTGACCGATCTGCACATTTGCTCCATAATCTTGGTCTTCTCGTACACATATTCTGTACGCAAAACCGCACCACCAGTTGCTATGGACCTCTCCCCAGTATCACTAATGGGGTCCTCAATGCTCTGAACTCTCACGGTCTCTTTCTTTACTGCTTATTGGAGCAAAACCACGCGGTCCCTTTGTTTACGTCACTGCTTAGCAGGAGTACTTTACGGTTTTAGAGCATGCTTTGATGAGTTTACATCGGTCATGCACTTAGATATGATATTTTTTATTTTTTTATTTATTTTTTACTTAGTGTTCTCCACGTAACACGGCCGTTTGGCCACTTCAATGAATGGTGCTACCACCTGAATCGTATGACCACTCACCTGGGTTACGGGTTACCGAGTAGAACTGTAACAGCAACTCTTCTCTCTGAGTCAGAAACATCATGAAGTTGAGACCAGCCCAATTTCTCACAAGTAGTGAGGACTAACTGACCCTCTCTCATTCCCATCAAAGCTCCCTGGGTTGATAGATGTTTTACACGAAACAGATCCAATTGAGAACACTTGGCAGCTGTGAGCCATTCATTGCCCACTAAACTGTATTCTTACCATGTGTATGTACAATCAAGTGGGTATTGCTGACGTTAGCACATTATATATGTAAAAAAAAGGTCCAATAGTAGATCTATACTTGCACCACATGTCCTCCCATTGAGACTATGTTCTCGTCATGTGAAGTACGCTATCCTATTTCCTTCAGTAATTTACCCTGTGGGTATCATTAGAACCGCTAGCACAAGAAAACAACCTGCTTGATTAGTTTGCTGCTATCAATGACTTCACAAACGTGCCTAGGTAACAGAAATTTCGTCATGTTCTTTTCGACAGATTTAGTTATTTGTAGTTTTTACTCTATCGCACTTTTTGGGGATTTTTAAAAATATTCCTGTGATGAAGAATTAAATCTTTTAATGCTGAGAAATGCAGCTAAATGTGTCAGTGTGTAGAGATATATATGGGAGAACTTTTGCTGTGATGATAGTAAAAGAGTTAGCACTTTAAGTGCTAAGAAATACTGCTGAATTTGCCAGCGTGTCGAAATGTACATGGGGAAATATTGCTGGTTGATAACATTACTTTCTCAGACACTTCAATTACAAGAGATATTCTATGGACAGCTTCAATGAACAGAGGGATGAAAACCGACTTTCGAACTACATATACTACAGAAAGTAGCAGTTCTTTCAAAGAGCAAACCTACAGCGCATTAAAGAACTCACCAAAAGCATTCTAATGATGAGAATGATATACGTGATCAAACGTTAACTCTTTATTCAAGTTCTGTCTTAAGGATACGTTAAGATACAATTTCGTGTTCTATGGAAAATATATTGCATTCGTCATTCAATATACTAGAACTTGATCCCGTTCTGATGATGTGCCGTACGTTTGGCAGCAACCATTGTTCATCTGAACTTCGACAGTTAAAGTCTTGAACAACAAAATACAATCAGAAACTACTCTAAGGCTGAATCATATCCTGCTTCGCATATAATTCCATATACTTATACTTATGCTTCCATATGCTGACAACCACATATACTTCCTTATATTCCCAATCAGAGATTGCAACCATTGCCATCGGTGCCATTGCCATTGTTATCGCGTAAAGGCTCTCCTTGTTTTTGAACTTGACAGCTGACATTTAACTGTCTAGTTGGCGCCGTTGATGAGTTTCAAATTCTCACCCGCACTTCCCGAGTAGCTGGTTGCTGCTGCTGGGCAGACATCGCAGGTCGCGTTGGCAGGGACACAGCCAGAACACCCGGGAGGACCCGTTCGGTTCCGGGCTGAAATCCTCCATCACGCCCTCCAGCAGCGAGCAGGGGTCCCCCGGCTTGCCGCGAGGCTTGCACACAGACACCGGGAAGCCGCCGAACCACGGCGCGCAGCACGTGCGTCACGAAACCGACGTGCGACTGGCAGTCCACGTCAGCTTTACACACCTGGATAGAAAAATAACATATGTCCGATTTACACACCTAAACAGTAACATAGGTTACATACAACAATCAAGCACGTCCCGAAACCGACGTGCGAACGGCAGTCTACGTCAGCTTTACACACCTGAACAATAATATAACAGAAAAACTTAAATTAGGTAATATATAATGCTGAGTTCACATTTCCAAACCGGAGCCCGGCCGGGTAGTCTTATGGAACGAAAGATACGATATAAAAGACAAGGAAACACAGAAAGGTTTTCCATAATAATCATGGGCACTATTTCTGTATATTCTTGATATGAATTGTTAGTTTTTTGTTCATACAAACAACCCGGCCGGGCCCCGGTTTGGAAATGTGACCTAGGCATAAGTTCCGTGTCAGACACAACGATAACAGTGTTAGGAAGTTGATTGTATAAAAAAACCGTATATTATCGACCTATTGCAAAGAAAACAAGGGATGAATAAAGTTTTCTTGCTTAGCGTTATTAGTTATTATCTATTCTTCAATGTAACCACATTTACTCATATCGTAACGAAAATCCCTTCATGATACGAAGATACTTTGAGGAGGAACCGGATTTACCATATCGGTGTCCATCTTCTCTAGTTCACTTCATTTGCATGTTGTTAATTGTACTCCGTATACTTTGAAAACACACACACACACACACACACACACACACACACACACACACACACACACAATAAAGGAATGAAAAATGGGAGAAAAATGAACGTACCCCAGTAATGATAATATACTTTGGGTACGACCTCGTATTGACCATATTGGTTTCTGAATACCCTTCATTTACATTTTGTTCACTGTACATCATATAATTTGAAAACAAATACACAATTAAAGTAATGATAATGGAAAAAAAGACAAACTTACCCCAGTAATGATAGCTATGTAGATTTGCCATATTGGTGTCCATTTTCTTTAGTACACTTCATTTCTACGTTTTTAACCAATACCTTGTACAATATAATAATAAAACACACAATTAAAGGGAAAAAACAATAGACGTACCCCAGTAATGATAGCTGTGTTGACTGGTAGGAAAAGCAACAGGCAGAAGCTCCACATCATGATGAGTGTCCTCCTCTCTGCCATGAGTCGCTGCAGTCCGCACATCACACTGCTGTACACTCCCATCTCTCCTGGACTTCTCTTACTCTCTCTCCACACGCTGTGCAATATAAAGTACCACCGCCACAAAGCACACTCACTCCTACGGGCTGTCATGCCACAGCGGCTTAATTTTATGGATGACATCCTCTGAAGACCCCCAAACTAGTGCGCGCGGGCGAATGAAAAAAATTCCGACCAAAAATAAAAATGCAACTAAACCGCAGGAATGCAAAGCTGGTATTATGAATTTGCGTCGTAGAACTACGGTAGCCTGGGTGCCGTCCTACAGAGTTACCACCGGTTCCGTATTGTCGCTAACTTCCATGGAGTACCCAGGCCAGGGCCTTGGACGACGTGCTCTTTTTTCTTTTTAGAATAGGCGAAAATCAAAGCGCGCGCGGATGTCATCCATAAAATTAAGTCGGTGTGGCCTGGTTATAACGTCATGCCACTTATCAGCCTACGGCGTGCGATGCGTGGACACATAATGGACGGGCAAATTGTCTTATTCAGCGCGTCCCACTCCCTGGATCCCACTAACTACTTCCTTTGCTCACAAATTGCATACGGGTGTGGGAGTCGATTGGGAGCTCTTGGAACTTGTGAGGGAAAAAAAGTTGCCCGAGGAAAATATTAGATTGGCTTCTTTTCA